ATGGCGTCAATAGTTTTCAGTTGTTTGGTGTGTGTTTTCTTTATTGTATTGTCCATTTATCTCTCTTTGTCGGTTGCATTTTATTTTCTATTCCTTTTATCTATGATTTTATACGTTCTATCTACGTCAGAGGAATGCTATTCCGCTTCGCTCCTATTGGTCCAAAAGTTACGAAACGAGACAACCTTACCTTTTAATAACCTTGGACGATATCCACTTCTCGATATCCTTATAGACCAGGAGTTCTATCTGGGACTACTAATTCTTGTACTACTTTTTTTGATCGCAATGGTACCTCAAACCAACCGTTTCCGAGTTATTGACTTTTGAAAATATCACTTAAACAATTCGATTTAATTAATTTCGATGTGTTCGGTTTCATTTAACGATGCCATTCTGCGGAAACTGTAGGCATCACAGTTTCCGCAGAGGTACATAATCATAATACACATAATGTAGGTACGTAAATTCAACAATTTTCGAATTATGAGGTGTTGATTTTCTTATATTTTACCTAATAATCGACCGTTCCCATACATATCAGCGACCCTGTATAGACTATAGACACAGATTATACAGATTATAATCTTTGTTTTTTCTTTATTGTTTTTCGTGGTTCCAATTTTCGGAATCGGGCACTAGTTAGGTGACTAGTTTGCGCACATAGCACGCCCACTTATGGCCTCTAAAATTGTGCACAGCGCCTGACCGGCACAGTTATTAGAGAGATATCGGAAAACCGAATAGCGTCATCCAGTATTTACGCGTACCTTATGACCTTATCATGGTTACGATATGCGCGATTCAACGCAACACTCGCTAATAACGTTATCGCCTGACGTAATTTGCGGATTAATTACACCAAGCGCTCTTTCTAAATAACCTCTGATAACGTTTAAAAATTGCTTAAATGGGCGTGCGGGTATTTGACAACCGGAGCCGGCCGGCGAGATCTTTTATTTTAGGTTATGTTTGAATTGTTTTGAATTATTGCTTTAGTTTTATTAGGTAATTTGATATTTAAGTAGCTGGGATTAGTTCTAATTAAATAAATATGGCCCAAAATATGGATTCCACCTCTTCCAATACTAAAGAACCTATAAAGGTCTTTAGGTTTACAGCAGATGACGACTTAGCCCTTCTAAGAGAATTTGTTGCTTGTTGTCCTAAACCCACTGGCAGACGTTGAACAATAACGGAAATACACTGGAAATAAGCACTTTAGCCCTTTAGTTTTAAAATACCTATTAAACAAAACAATTTCAAAGTTTTAAATTCAAAGTTAGGTTAAGTTTAAATAGCGGACGCGACGCGATCAGAATTCTTTCCGATCCGATAACTATAAATGAAGAGAGTTAATACCACCTCACGTAAAGGAAATAACACCTGGCCTTATTAACGTCCATGCCCGCTATTCGGTTAAGCGATATCTCTCTATTACGCTGTTTATTGTATTTTACGCGAGTTTATTTTTGCGCACAGGAAATTTGACTCGTTTGCACATCGTCATAAAAAACAATTTTACTGAATTAAGGACAAGATTTTTATCTGTATACTTATAGGATACATAATCTGTGCTATAGATAGTGAAACAGCCAAGTCAAATTGACGTGTCCTAATTATTTTTGACAAGCTGGAAATAATAAAAGCGAAAATGCAAGAAAAGATAAATGATTAGTTAATTTTAAGTAAATTTCATAATTATTGCTGTTCATAAACATGAATCACGTCTTTTATACTTCACACTTCTGATCAACTGCGTTCATGTTTATAATAATTGTTTACATCAAACAAAAGTACGATTATAAAAACAAATAAGCGACAAAGGAATTGTTGCATGTGTTCCATGCGTGTCCACAAAAAAAAACAACCACAACAGATTTCAGTTATTTACATACATGACTATTATTGTTATTATTTTTTTCTTTGCGATAAAAATAGAAATAATGTTTATACAAACTTTTTAAATTTAGAACCAAAAATATTTATTTTTGGTTTATTTATAAGAAATAATTCGTCGTTAATTTAAGAAAAAATTCGTCTAGTTAATTCGTCGTCTTCAGCTTCTGCAGTCAGAAAGATAGATCTCAGGGTGCATCCACACTATCCTAAAAACGGCGTATTAGCGTATCGGCGTAATGGCGTAACGACCTTGATTAGATTTCCAGTAATTCTATTGGCTGAAAAATTCATCTGTCAGAAATTTTATCTGTATAATTCATCTGTCAAAAATTTCAGCCAATAGAATTACTGGAAATCAATTCAAGGTCGTTACGCCGATACGCCGTTTTCAGGATAGTGTGGGTGCACCCTCAGGTTATATATTATTTGATTGGGTCAACATATCACAAGAAGTATCGTTAGTGAAGATAGAAGGGCGCAGTTTGCACAAACCTGTCCCACTTTTTTTGTCAAATGGAAGATGCCGTAAACAACATTTTCATAGTCCTCATCGTTTCTGAGCTACAGGGTCCTTTTGAAAATTTTGCAATTTGGGACTTTATCGGTATCGAGAAGATGCAAACTGTTTATTGTAGAACTTTGTACGTAGAATACAGTGGCGTAGTCTGTTATTCTACGAAAATAATATTTTATAAGATATGAACTAAAGTTATGTTTTCTTAAATGGAACACCCTGTATATTTATAAATTACATGATCTGGCTTTCCATAAGCTTCTCAAAAATATATATCATTCTATATTTATTTTCACTATTTACTGCAATATTTAAAAGTTTTTATTAAAAGATCATATTTATTAATAGGAATAGTAGGCAATGATTGATAATAAAAGAAACTAAAGAATTATTAAAAGTATATCTACTGCTATCTGTATCTTGTTTTATTTTTGGGAGCCACTAATAAATTCTTCATATATTAGGGAAACTTAACTCTTTACTGCCAGGGCTGAGCGTAGGGTATCTGCCGCCCGGGTGCGAGAATTAAATTTGCCACCCCCATTAATGTAAAAAAATTAGGTTGGGTTTGTAGGAGTTCATAAAATTAGGTAAGGAAAGGAGTTCATAATTTATCATTCTCAATAAACAAATTTTATAGTAAAATAACAAAGTATTTATTAACAAATACATAAAATAAAATAAAAATACATTCAGGAAAAAAAAACAAAAATAATTAAACGGGTTTAAATACTAAAATCTACTTTTCTCGCTTGTTTAGTAGCAAATTCCGTAATCAAATCGCCTACATCCAAGTTGTTAGAAATATCTTCTTCAATACTTATAATTGCTAAATTTGAAAGCCTGATTTGAGTCCATATTGGATCTTGAATATCGTGATTTTTAGAAAAAAATTTGCATTTTGCAAGGTGGCTTTTTTTATTCTTGATAATATGATAAAAAAATTTTGAAGATGATATTTTGCGGCCCTTTGTTAGTACCGCCCGGGTGCCATGCACCCCTTGCACCCCGGCACGGCTCGACCCTGTCTACTGCTATTTGTAAATCTTGGAAGCTATCGTACCGGAACTTTTAGATATTCCTTTAGCTAAGTTAAATTATTATTTCTCAAATCAATGAATTGGAACCAGTGAAATGGACCCATATGATTTGTCGGTTCTCGATTTCTGATTTTCGGGATTTTTGAAATATGAAATTTATCGTGGCAACTACAACAACGTCGAACACCTGGAAAATGCTTTAATAATGCAAGCTTTTGCATATTTGCAAACATCATATGATTTATAAATATACAGGGCGTTCCATTTGAAAAAACGTTCATATTTTCAAAAATATTTTTTTCGTAGAAAACCAGATTACGCCACTGTATTCTACGTAAAAAGTTGTACAAGAATCAGTTTTCACCTTCTCGATATCATCCACAATAACGTAGATACGGTAGCCGTCCCAAATTAAAAAAATTTCGAAAAGACCATGTAGCTTAGAAACGAAGAGGGATATGAAAACTTTGTTTCCAGCATCTTTCTTTGACAAAAAAGTGGGACGGGTTTGTGCAAACCGCATCCTCCTATCTTTACTAATAACTGAGATACCGTATGATTTCAACCAAAATGGGACACACTGTATATGGTGTTTACCAACAACTGATCTAAAACCGCTGGTAAAGATAGGACGGTCTTCCGTTTTAATTGACAGGCAAAACGTTAAGTCTAGAGGGGGCTTTAAACGTGTCGAAAATTCAATGTAAAAATAGTCTCAGCAATCAAAAGGTTAAACAAAAAACGTTCATTCCAAATACCTAAGCTCATTAAAAAAAACAGAGTATAATTCAAAAAATTACAGTTAAATATCCAGACAAAACAAAATAATGTTTTTCTCTGAAACTAATCTATAAATAGAGCAGCAACAGACATTAATATTTCCAAGAAATGTCCACAGCCATAACACAAGTGTGAGTAATAAAAAAGTCTAATGTATTTTTTTATTTTTCTCAAAAAACTGTCTGGAAGTTTCCTCATTACATTCAATTAAATTCTCTTTAATTTTAATAGAAAACATGAGACTTCATGAGTTTTATTTTTTCAGTAATTCAATATCTTGATTAAACCAGAATAAATAAAAAATAATCCTCAAAAGAAAGTACAATAATACAAGTATTAGTCATTTTATTTATTAACATTTTTAAGCGAGCCTCTTGATTAGGTCTTGAATAAAGAAAAAAATACAGGGTGAGTCAACCTTGTCAACTATACAGTATGTCCCCAGATTGTCTTTACAAGAGGAAAAACTTTTTATTATTGACATTTTGGGAAAAAAAAACATTCTTCATAGGGGTGAGGCACTTTAGAGACGCACACAATATACGACATTCATATAAAAGTAGAAAAATATTGTTTTTATTAAATAAAGAACAATAATGAATTTTATCCTTGACTTGCCCTGTATTAGATTTCCTAATTGTTTAGTTTTGTATTAAGGTAAGTTTGCTAAGATTTTAGTGATATATCTTAACATTAATTTGACATATTATATTGTATTTTTAGAAAATTCTTGGAGAAATATTTAGGTATATTTATTTACTTACTGTGGGTCATCTTGATTAGGTCGCCTGTAGCATGTCGGCACCCTTTCTTCGTACTTCATTTTTGCTTTAATATTCCCAACTTCTTTCATCCTTTCCACTTGTGAATCTTCCCATCGGTCTAACTTTAAATGCTTGACTTTGCTTATATGAACTCCCATACTCCTGTGAACTCCAGAACACCGGGTACAAATAAAGATTCCTATGTTGTAAGAAGCCCATTCTGGATCTAAAACAAATAATTGAGAAATTAGTTCATTTATTTTGGAATTCTCTTTTTTTCCAGCAAAATTTATTTAAATATTTAAATGCCCATCTTAAGAAGTAAAGGTAGCCCTTTAAAAATAAATAATTTCAAAAATTCTCGAAAAATTAAACCTATTAATACGTGAAACGGATACGCGAATATGCCGTTTTACATCTTTCATTAATTTTTCCTGCAAACTGATGAATGAAAACGGAGTAAACGTAATTGTAAGTGAACTATTTACTATACACGCCACAACATAAACTTACTTTTTGACCCACAATCGGCACAAGCGTTATTTCCGTGCAATTTCAATAACTCCGACAGCAATTTCTCATTTCTTTCCACCATTTTCACGAATTAGCACTATTTAATGCACCATCGAAATCATTACACCGAGAACATTCACTACGCGATCAAAATAAAAATAAAATCATTCTATCGTCCATTTTAAAAAGATGTTTTGAGTTTTGACGTCTCGAACTCGAACGGCATCCGCCGTCCGCCGTTTCGTCATAGGTCGACAACATTGCATAAAAGATCAAAACTTATTTCCAAAACAACTAAATTCCTGTATGTTTGGTTGCCTGAAACTTATCGATATATTTCTACAATATCGATAATTTGTCTCGTCTCTAAAAATTTTTGTTATGTCATAAAAAAGAAATCTGTCAATAGTTGTCAAAATGGCGTTTTGAACTTTGGAAACCGAGATTTGTACAATTTTTATTTAAATATTTTATTGAAGATGTATTAGTTAATACCAAAATCAACAAGATAAAATGCAATAAAGTTGTTACAGTGGCAAGCAATTGTGTTTAAGGATTAACTGGGGATTATTTTTTTACATATTTTTAAGATGGCCAGCAAACCTACGAAAAGGAAGTCTATTCACGCGACAAAGTTAAATTTCAGGCCCACGACGAGCGACAGTAATTTAGATTATAAAGGGACGAAGCCCACCTGTGAACCTACCTCAATTAAAGAGATTTTTACGCTAATGGTGCTGTTCATTTGCAAGAAATCGTTATTTTTCGACACCAACCTAAAAGTAGCCTTATATTTAGGATGTCTGTTTTTAATATCGCTTATAGCGGATGTAGCGACAATTCCCAAGACGTACCTTTCCCGATCGGATAATATATTTAACAAGTATTTTGTTAAGTTCGCGTGGGGATGGAATCTAATGTTAATCGTGCCTTTTTTGACCTTCACCTCCTATATTTATTGCTGTGGACAAATAAAAAAGATAACAAAACATCACTTACCTCGAATTGTAATAGCAACGTTCTTTTGGTACTTTTGGACGAAGATATTTAATATTGTTGAAGCTTCTTTTGGAAAATGCCAGATCAAACAGTATGGTTCGAAAGAAACATGTTTAAAAGCTGGTCATGTATGGAACGGTTTTGATACATCAGGACACTCGTTCATTCTAATATATGGTAGTTTGTTTTTAATAGAAGAAACAAGAAGTATGATTAACTGGGACAGTATAAAAGAATACTTAAGACTCGAAGAGCACAATAGAGTTACAAAAGATACCGCTCAAAGTACAAATCCTTTAAGAAATTTATCAGAAGCTGAATTCAAAACTTTGCAATTTAATTATGAAAAATATACTCCATATATACGAGGTTTCTTTGTACTGATAACGTTGTTTCAAATTTTATGGGATGTTATGTTAGTGAGCACAATGCTCTATTATCATGTAATGATAGAAAAGTTTGTCGGTGGATGTCTAGCCATTTTAACATGGTTTTTCACATACAGATTCTGGTATGTACATCCTAAACTACTACCAAAACTGCCTGGAGAAGGGGTATTTAAATATATCAAAAAAACGACTAAAGAACCAGTGCCAGTAACCCATCGAAGAAGAACGGGTAGTATAGTGAATGGAAATAGCGGACCTATGTTTATGGGTAGACCAATTTACACACAATCGTCACCACAAGAAGACGAGTCAACAGCAACCTAGTTGTATTTTATTTGCCATTACTGTTTTGTTATTTTTTGCATTTTGAATAGGTAACTTATTTTTTTATATATTTTTATTTATACAAAGGTCTAAATAGCTTTAATACTTGTTGGTTTTTGGTTTTATTATTTTTGTCACTCAAAGGTAGCTAGTCATGATTCAAGTCACACCGGTTGTATCTAATTTTTTTATAAGTAATTTATGAATAGGGCAAAACTTAAAAAGAAAAAATATCAGAGTTAAAGTTAATAATATATCAAACGATATGTAAAATATAATTTCTTTACAAATGGGATGTTTTAGTCTCTATAATAAAGTTTGTATTGACATGTACACAATTTTATTTTATAATGTATATAAAAAGATTATAATCTTGAAGCCATACCACCAGCCACAACAATATTTTCTCCTGTTACATAAGCACCATCATCGGATGCTAAAAATGCAACTGATCCACTTATATCATCTGGTTTTGCAAACCTAAAAGATGATATTGAGATAAAGATTATTTGATTATAAGTTCTTACCTCCCGATAGGAATTTGGGCCAAAGAAGCTTCACTTGCGGCGGGATTATCAGTTATCTAACAACATATTTTAGCTTTACTCTAGGTACATTTCAAGTTAGACCTCTACTTACCGCTCTGCTAAATTTTGTAGCAACTAAACCGGGACTAACTCCATTAACTGTTATATTCTCTGGAGCTAGTTGTAAAGCAGCTGTCTTTACAAGTCCCAACAAAGCAGTTTTACTTATAGAGTAAGCGCCAAGTACCTCTATTGGCTGAAAACCTGCAATCGAAGAAATAAAAATAATTCTGCCCGCTTTACTTTTTCTTAACAAAGGTAAAGCTTCTTTGGCTAAGAGAAATGAACATTTAACGTTGATCTCAAATATCTTGTCCCATGAACTTTCTGAACACTAAAAAAAAATTATATAAATACCAAACACAATTTAATAATCCCTAAAACATACATCTAGAACTCCTCCTACTTCAGGATTAACAGCAGCATTTGACACTAAAATATCCAAGCCGCCTAGATTAGAAGCCTGAAATTTATATCAGAAGTTTTATCTTAATTGCCAGTGACCTCGTAATCGTTACCTCTTTGAATAGTTTTTCTCTATCCTCTGATTTCCCAACGTGACACACCAACCCTGTTACATTTAGGCCTTCCTTAGTTAGTTTTTGAGTAGCTTCTTCCACATTTTTCGCTTTTCTGCTGCTTATTATAACTTTAGCTCCTTCACGAGCCAAACGCTGAGCAATGGCAAAACCAATTCTTGAAAAATCAAGTGTATAAATCAGCCAAGACAAAATTACGTTATAATGTATATTAACCTAACTGGTATTAACTTACCCATCGGTAGAAGCTGTTACAATTGCAATTCTACCAATTAATCGATTTACTGACATCTTTTAAGAAAAAAAAGTTATAATTTGGCTAATAAATTATGTAAAATCCAATTTTTCAAGTTTTTTAATCTTGATTAAAGGGCAAATTCCACTACTTCGTTTGTGTGTGTTTATGATAAAAAATTTAAAACAGTTTACCATGATATAAAAACAAAATTATATGATTAAACAGCGCCTATTGGGTAAACACTATTAATTAAGTATATTTATGTTCAAAATGCTGGTGCTGGTATTAAAGCGTTAAAGAATATCCGAATCACAGATCCGAATATCCATACAATAAATATAAATAAATAAAAAATATACACTTTGTTTTTAATTGATTGAAATTATGCAACCAAGAATACATTTCATTAACCCAACTGCCAACCATAAAATAATAAATACAAGAAGAAGTGTCAAGTCAATGTTAAATTATGGAAACAGCGTGGCTGCCTGGGTAACTAATTTTCAGATATGGCGGCTGGGACATTTGACATGACATAGACACTTCATTGACATGACAATTTCAATTTTATGAAATTTATTTCCGTTTCCGGTTTTTAATGGCGGGCTGTTCAGGAGGTTTAAATGAGGGTTAATATACTTTTTACTTTTTCTAGTAGTAAATTATACAACAAAATTACTCAAAAATATTTATTTGGAATTTAGAACAATGTAAATATGCAAATCAACACAATTAAAGAGCTATAAACCCATAAACTACTGTATCAATATCAAAATATTTAAATAACATCAGAGATGCTGTGTTAAAGTGAATTAGTAAAGTAACAATGCACTGACTTACAGAAACTTGAAGATAAATAAATGTTTTCACAGCTTTACGGGCGTAAAACTAACTGGAAGCAGGAAAAAGACAACAGGAACCCACGCAAAACCTGGAATCAAAAAAAAATATGTAAAAAAAACATAAATATAGGTACATAAGACTCTTATGAATTAAATCAAACAGGACTTGAATGAAAATAAAATGAATAAAAAATATGATACCTATGCATCTAATACCTCATTTGTATTTTAACAATAATCTACATACATAGCATTGTTGCTATGAAAATACATAATAGGTACCTATGTGATATGTAATTACGCATTTCTGTTCATCTTGTAGATAATTAATATAGGCTGTAGGCTAATAATAGTTCAGTAATCATAATTTACCTTGTGTAACTTGCTTTCAATTGCTCAAAATCACCGATCAGTCTTTAAAGTAGAGATACGGAAAAATCCTTGGTAAAGAATATCCCAAGATCTTGGATCTAAAGCTAAAAAATATAAAACAGTTAATTTATTATACCTATTTTTACATAAAATATGGCCCATACCTACTACACGCAGAAACGTCGATTTCATCATTTTCTTCATGTAATTAATATCATATATACTTTATTAAAGTGTTAACAAGGAACTTTATATCAAAAAACATCTTTTGTACTTATAAATTTCAGCCGAAATATCATAAACAAACTTCCATTCAAATCTAAAACGGCAAAAATTAAAATGGCGCCCGACCTTGCCAGAGGCCTCGGGAGTTGACACATGGCTGACACACAGACAAAAGAAGAGGACGCCGACGTGCATAAAAATGTTCCGTAATTGAAATTGACAGAAATCATATAGAAATATTCAGATTTTTGTCTAGGACAGTCTAGAAGGCCATGCTTTCTGCCTGGGTAAGACCGCGCCAGAACTGTTTCCAATTTTCCGGTTTACTGTCACCCCGCTGCCAACTGTCAAAACTTTTTATCATAACCTACAGCAGAAAGTTTTTGTTTTGGGTTGAGACACATTTTGAGAGTACATGTGAATACATCTTTTTTAAGCTACAATCATGATATAAAATAATTCAAGATAAGTTATAAATTTTTAAAGAAAAATGGAGTTGAAAGAATTAGAAGATGACAAAGCTATACAGGAGAAGCTGCAGAATTTACACGATAGTATCGAAAAGATTACAAAACTTTTAGACACAGCTTTAAAGGCAGATACTTCCCAATTATCCAAAAAAGAAAAGATCGACTACGACTTATTCCTCACTTACGCTCTAAATACGTTATATTGGATGTATCTGAGAACCAGAGGTGAAGATCCAGTTAAAAACGAAGTAAAGAATCAGCTTAACAGGATCAAAGAATACATGTTTAAAGCTAAACAGGTACAGCATCTTAAGTTTTAGAAATATTTGAATGAAAAGTTGGTAATAATGAATAAAATTTTTCAGGCACACGAAAGACAAACAGTTAGGCCTAGAATTGACCAGCCTGCTGCTAAGCGATTTGTCAAGCACGGTATCAAGTACAAAGCTCCCAAAAATAATCAAGAGCTCCCAAATAAGAAAATTCGGTTTGATGATTAAAGTTTAGCGTTTTGTTAATGCGGTAAATAAAACATGTTTTTATCACTGCAACAGATTTTTATTTTTAATTACTACACCACATATAATAATGAACAATATAAGATAATTTAATAGTACAGCAATCTTAACCTTACTATTAAACGTAGAGCCGGAAACTAATGCTTCAGTCAATTTTTTACACTGTTACACAGCGAAAGAACAAAAAACTAAAATAATAAATGAAAAATTGAAAAACGCTACTCTTATAAACAATGAGAAATTATACATTAAAAAATTAATAAACTAAAAACGTTATAGACTATATTGTAGCGATTGTGAAAAAAATCCTTGATTCATAACTTGCATGGAATGAGAAAATACGACTAAGGTTTAGAATCGACCTCCGAAAGGCCTCTGTAGTCTACTTCGGGCTCTTCTGGCTACGGCGCGGGCCCCGTAGTTCGGAGAACTCCGTCCGCGATCTGAAATTTCAGAATAAACGTAATTTGGTAAAAAATGTCTATACCTATGTGGCGGATTCATCTCTCCAAAAAATCCTAACCTAACTAAATAAAATTAATAACAAAATCTATGACAAATCATAAAAATAAAAACTAAGCGTAATACATGTACAGTTGGCTATATTTAGGTACTAACAATGGGCTATGCAAGTTGGAGCGGTTTAGAATGCCTAAATTTGGAAAAAAGTTAAAAATAATGAAAAACTTTTTTTTATTTTTTTGACATATCTCAAAAACTAAGCAAGATACGTAAAAAATGTTATAGAGTAAAATTGAAGATGTTTTTTTCAATATTTTTGCTCGCTTTCAATTTTTCTGTAGATCTCTTTATTCCGTAGATATTACGTTTTTTAAGTTTTTTTAGTTTGACTTGCGTGTAAGGACCACCTTCTTTGAGCTCTTAAAACCCAAAAATTTCGTAAAAATTAAGAGTTCAAGACTGTTCAACTATAGAGGTTAATTTGTAGCTCGTGTAATTTCCTACAAATTAATAATTTTTATTTTTATGATTTTAGTCATAGATTTTGTTGTTAATTTTTTTCCGAAAAAATGAGGTGACCATTTTATTTTTATCATAACTCCGCGAGTTTTGAGCTACGAACTTAAAAAGACCTTTTAAAAACGCATTTAAAAGGTCTTTTCAAACAGTTTAAAAACGGTCATATTAATTTTCTTCGAAAAATGTGTTCTTTCGCCATTATTTTACGGTAAACGGTTGCAATTTAGTTTTCGAAAAATAAAAAATTACCTTTACAGAGTGATTACTCGGCTATTATTACATCTATACGGTATCAACAAAAATTGAATCGTTTAGTAATTCTAAAAGCTTCATTTTTGCTTTATATGAGTTTTGCGATAAAACGCAAGGTTTTCAAGTTATTTATAAAAAATGGCAGAAAAATATGTAGTTTTTAGATGAAAAATCATCATTTTCAATCCTAAATATTTAGAAAAATATTAATATTCTGAAAAAATATTATAGAATTAAAATGGGTGATTTATTTTTCATTCTCGAGAAGGGGTGGCACTCACCCCCCAAGGTGAAAGCACACATCGCTATTATGTAACTTTTATTTCTTACATAATATATCTCTTTTCGTTGTTAAAATTTCACGTCAATCGATACGCGTGTCAAGAATTCGGAGGTAATACCCTATTTTTATCCTCGCTTGTTGGCTTAGAAGCGAACAAAGAAAAAACATGAAAAACTCACCTTGATGTTGTTGTCTGTTGGGCGAGTTCCTCTGATCGCCCCAAACTATGGGAGTCGGTCCTTGCCTGGAACCCCTAGGGCTCATCCCAGGTCTGGAAGACCGTCTGTTGGGGTGTCCCGGTCCCCTAAGACTTCTCGCTCTCGACGAGTTGGTGCTTTGGGAAGCTTCGGCTTCGCGACCTTCCTCTTCGCCTTCCTCTGTCGAAGGCTGTTTCTCTCCTTCAGAACTAACCTAAATTTATAATAAACGCATATATTTAGATATTTTTTGATCTGATCTATGTATGCCAGTCGCGATTTCTTGCCAGACTGACATAAATGTAAACTACAGTTGGGCAAACAAGTCGGGGAAGATTTCGCCAGACGCCACTAAAAATTACAGAAAATACCATTTACCTGTGAATTAAACTGACAGACACAACTGTCACTGTCACGGATCCCTTCATTGGACAGACTATATCATTTATTATAGAAGGAATAACTCTAAAGATGGGTTATTCAATGCTAATGATCTTTTATTTTAAAAATGTTTTTTATAAGTAATAGTTGGTAACAGTGTCACTTCCAAAAAATAACAGGTAAAAGAAAAACGCTGATATTGATGATTCGTGATATGAAGTTTGTATCTCCATTACACAAAATTATATGAAGCTCGCAACAGTTGTTCCTTTCAAAAAGTAACAGGTATTAAAACGACAGTGCTGTGACAGCAATATTATACAGATTATACAGATTATAAACTTATCGTCAAAAGCATTGTTTTTCGTGGTTCCAATTTTCAGAGTCGCGCACTAGTTAGGTTACTAGTTTGCGCTCATAGCACGTCTCCACTTATGGCCTCTAAAATAGTGCACAGCGCCTGACCGGCCCAGTTATTACGCTGTTTTAACGCGAGTTTATTTTTGCGCACAGGAAATTTTTTACTCGTTTGCTGATCCGCCTAAAAAACAATTTTCGTACCACGAATTAGGGACAAGATTTTTATCTGTATACATATAGTATACCTAATCTGTGACAATAGCTGGTGATGTGAAATCGGTATCATTTTTCCACAAAATTCTTCCAAAATCGTAACAGCTTTAAGAAAGCACTGCCATGCTTTTTATAAATTCGCAACTGTTATTGCTTCCAAAAAATAACAAGTATTAAAACCACAGAACCGATTTGACCCCTAGCGATTTGATGTAGGGATCGCCGCGCCACGAGCTTTACAACTGTTGTTACCTTCAAAAAATAAGAGGTATAAAGTGATCTAAAGTCAGTATTTCCGTTGCACAAAATTCTATGATCGCAACTAATGCTGTTTCTTACGAAAAATAACAGTGTCGATTAAACCGCTCGCGATGTGATGTATGGATCGGTGCGTCATGAATTTAACGAAACCTGCGACTGTTGTAAAGTCAGTATTCCCGCTGCACAAAATTCTATTAAGATAGCAAATGATGTTACTTAAAAAAGAAAGGTACGAAAATAACAGTGTCGATTCGACCGCTCGCGATGGGATGTAGGCATTCTCGCTTCACAGTTTTACGAAGCCTGGGACTGTTACTTCGAAAAAAATAACAGGTATGAAAACAACAATGATCAGATAGCGATATATCGTGATGTAGTCAGTACTTCCATTGCACAAAATTCTACTAAGATCGCAACTGATGTTTTTTTTTACAAAAAATAACAGGTATGAAAATAACAGTGTCGATCCGACCGCTCGCGGTGTGATGTAGGGATCGTTGCGTCACAAGTTTTACAAAGCCTGCGACTGTTGTTGCTTCCAAAAAATAATAGGTATAAAAACAACAATGCTCTGATAGCGATATCTCGTGATATAAAGTCAGTATTTTCATTGCACAAAATTCTATGATCGCAACTGATGTTGTTTCTTCCCAAAAATATCAGTGTCGATTAAACCGTTCGCGATGTGATGTATGGATAGTTGCGTCACGAATTTAACGAAACCTGCGACTGTTGCTTCCAAAAAATAACAGCTATGAAAACAATAGCTCTGATAGCGATATCTCGTGATGTAAAGTCAGTATTTCCGTTGCATAAAATTCTACTAAGATCGCAACTGAAGTGTCTTCCAAAAAGTATCAGGTATGAAAATAACTGTCGATTCGAGCGCTCGCTGTAGTTATTGGGGCCATGCTATAGTTAATATCAGCTTACCCCATCATCTCCTTCTAAGTCGCCCCTGTCGCGAACTTCTTCTGAAGAAGTTCCAGCCTGGCCAGTCAGATCGTCCAACATTCCTTCCCTGGCCTCATCTCCACCAGTTACTAGTTCTTGGGGTAGTTCAGCTGAAAAAAAAATAATTATAAAGATTACCAGGATTACTTTTGCAGAGGTATTTTATAAAAATTAACTTTCAATAATACATCTAGCAACTAGAAAACCGAAACTTACCATCGCTCTGGGTGGTTTGACGATCGCTCTGATCCTCTGCCACTACAGGGATGGACTCTTGAGGCGAAGATTGCAGGGGTGTCGTGGGCACGCTGCGTCCGGTACCTGAAACAACGGTCCATTATTAAAATTCTTCTGTGCCTTCAGGGCGGTTCACGGATTTGGTCAAATTTTCTTACAATATTCGGACATTTTATTATGACTTCACTCTGTAAATTGGATGTTATAAAAAGGGTAATAAAGGGTAAAGGTGCCCGGTGGCGTAGAGGTACAGGCTCTCGTCTACCAATCTCAAGGTGTGGGTTCGATTCCCACACCCGGCATTTCATCAGCCGACTATTTTTATTAAAATAAAAATAGTTTGGGTACCTAGGTTGACTCAGCCTTAAATGAGTACTTGGGATTCACAATCCTGAGGAAATAATAGGCGGTTGAAGCGTAGTGCTAGCCACATTACCTTCCTTGTATACCGAACGGCTCTAGTATAGCAAGCTGTACCTTGCCATTCCCAAGGCGCTAAACGCTATATACGGGAGCTATTATTATTATTATAAAAAGGGTAAAGAGGTTTACCTATTTTACCTACGTAATTTTTCTGTTTTTTTTGTTGTAGAATTTGCAGAGCACTTTAAATTTTTACCAGGAACCGCCACTTATGTTATTTCTACGGACGGTATACAAAACATGATATGTTACGAACAGTGGCGGCTTAACCAAAAACCTTAAAATGGTCAATGCTCCCCCAAAAAAATCAGAACAAAAAAAGAAAAAACCTATTTAAATTATACTTTTTGTAAATCACTTGTTTTCATCCTAAGATATTCAGAACTATTCCCAAAAATCTTCAATTTGTCCAATTTTCGCTTGAAAACGTTATATTTTAACCATTTTCTCAACAGGCGGTCAAAAATTAATTTTGTCCTTCATTCCCGCTATGTTTTGCACGTATTAAACTCTAAATGCCGCGGCTCGTGACGCCAACGAGGTAAGGTATACTACGTATAGAAAATATAATGGGTTAATGTGCGATAGATACAGTTTATAATGGCCATTGACCGCGTCATTCATAAAAGGATTTCAGTCATATCGCTGGAAAAATTTCGCCATTTGGACAGTTTGGGTAGTTACAAAAACTCAGATTATAAAACAACCTAGGCTTTTGTATCGTTTATCGTGTATAATGTTTGGTTTAGTAAATATAAAGCAATATTTAAATTTTTAATATCGAAAGAAATCCCATATAGTTCTAGTTGTAGCCGAGTGTTTGAGGTGTGGCTCAAAATTTGTGTAGGTAATAATTCATAATTTTCTGGTTATGGATACATGATGAACTGTAGTTGACTGATTCTGGAATAGATATTTTAAAATAGACAACATGGTGTTTAGTTTGTAAAATTGTGCGGTTAAAAGAAAACAATTGCTTAAATTTCGAAAAATGTTAGGGAAAGAATGCCGCATTGACTTAAAATATAAAAAAAATGTGAAATAAAACTTTTAGAATTGTGTATGTGTATATATGCATTTATATTTTTGTGACATTATTATTTAAGTGTCTTTTAAATCCTATCGTGGAAAATTTGTGTAAAGAACATTGACTGGATTTTTAGTGAAATGGCGCTAGACCACCTGTTTAAAAATATAAGGGCAGGTTTCATTTTAACAGAATTTATATTTATTTTTAGATTTATTTTCCTTTAACTAAACGTACAAGTACCTTGTAAGAAACTAATTAAATCTGGGCGCGTCCGAGGGCGCGTCTTAAAAAATATCGCCGCAATATTTTTAAATATTGACCTCCCTACAATAATAACCACGAGCCGCCACTGGTTACGAATATGAAGTGTTACGGTGAAGTCGTCGACGACATCTCCTAGCAAGAAACGGAAACATTCAGAGAAATCTCTCCGCGTTTAGACAAACAATGATAGGAAACGTTTTTTTAAACAGTGTCGCACAGAGGAGTATTTCTGTCTTAGAACTGGCTATAAGTCGAAAATTCAAATTTTAGGAAAAAAATGGAGCTATTTATTACCTTTAAAGGTAAGTAATCAGTTCATCAGAAAAGCAATAGTCTAGAAATGCCACGTTCTTACTCCTGCTGTACTATCAGTTATTCATTTTGATTTCCAATATATTTGATATAAGGTGCAAAACAACATTCCAGATTACAGTTTATTTATGCTGTATCAACTGCAGTGGCTACTCAACCATGAGGTCAAATGGTCAATGCCCCCCCAAAAAAATCAGGAGAAAATTAGAAAAACTTATTTAAATTATACTTTTTGCAAATCACTTTTTTTCATCCTAAAATATTCAAAACTATTCCCAATTTATCCAATTTTCGCTTGAAAACATCTTATTTACCCATTTTCTCTACTGCCGGTCAAAATTTCATTTTGTCCTTCGTTCCCGCTGTGTTTTACACGTATTAAACTCCAAGTGCCGCGGCTAGTGACGTCAACAAGGTAAGGTATACTACGTACCTTTGAATAAGAAGACTAAGGAAGAAGCATAATGCTATCCATGTATTCATGCATGGTGGGCGGAAAAAGCTCTCTAGGGTGGGGATCCTTGACAGTTCTGTTTGACGATTCATTTGACATATTTGAATTTGATTTGAAATTTTGTGGATTTGTCAGTCTTTACGGAGCTTATTTTATGTTATTTATTATTTATTCTACTACTGATAGTTGTATAAAGGTAGTAAATCTAGATGGAAATTGTGGCAGAACTTAAATTAACAGTGACATTATCGCGATTTATCGAAAAAGACTCTAAAATAGTTGGTTGTGTAGCGTGCGGCTAAAAAAAAGTAGATCTCGGCAAAAATTGAGTGAAATAATGGAACAACTTTTCGCTAGTAAGTGACTATATAATATACATACGTGTAGTAAACCGATCATTTATGAAATTCACTTAAATTAACTAAATTATAATATTTTCTTGCATTTTAGCTTTTATTTACTACTTGTCAAAGATGAGATGTCAAAGAATTTTGATACGTTAATTTGACTTACCTGCTTCAGTAGAGTATCGGATGTTTGTGTTAATAAATACTTATTATAACTTATCTATTTTTATTAGAATTATATATTTTTATAACAATTTTAATAACTACCAACATTTATTCACAACGTAAAATAAAATAACAGATTATTGAGTCTACCCCACGTCTACCATACATCATAGTTTTACATTTTTTAAATAAAATTAGAACGGCACTGATAAACCGGAGTTTAAGTCGCCCATATTTGAGGCCCATCGCGGTGTACCTAAGATTTTTGATATGCTCCTTCCTTAGTCTTCTTATTCAAAGCTACGTACAGAAAATATAATGGGTTAAGATGCGATAGATATAGTTTATATTGGCCATTGACCGCGTCATTCATAAAAGGATTTGTAAAGTAGGCAACTTTATATACACTTGTATTTGGTAGTTTACTGACAGACGATATAAAAAGTGACGGTTTTTGTCTTTGTCTAGAAACCAGCGTGTTATTATTGTAATTTGTAATATTGTTTATTAGTTGAGAATCAATATAGTTGATTAAGAAATATCGAGTGCATTATTTTTATATAAATACATTATACGCTCACACATCTTACAGTTTTAACACTTTTAAATTTTTGTACCTGTTGTCAGATTTTATACATTTTCTACTTAATATTCTACATATACTACATTTTCTACGCAGTTTTCTACATACACTTTTCTACGCGTCGTTACCCAACCCTGTTTCTGTAATAATATTATTTATAAAAAATGTCTATACCTATGGATTCATTTCTCCAAAAAAATCCTATATGGGTATTTCGCCACTGCAAGAAAATCTACAAAATAAAATAGTTATTTTTTTGTAAACACTGATGCGTTAATCCAAACGGAAACTACTTGTCAGAAGTTGGGTTTACAGATATACATATTTGCCTAACGAACAAAAAATCGTTTCGGAAAGTTTATCTCTTTCCGTCGTCGGAAGCAAAAAAATACAAAGAATAAAGAAAAACTATTTAAAATATTTAAATTCAACTATTCGAGAACACTTTAGTTTTTTAAAACAGATACGTCTACAAAAACCGTTGACGTACTGTTAAAAAAATAATTATTATATTACATTATTTCATTTTTTAACAGAACGTCAACGGTTTTTAAGACGTATCTGTCTTAAAAAACTAAAGTATTCTTGAATAGTTGAATTTAAATATTTTAAATAGTTTTTTTCTTTATTCTTTCCGAAATTTTTTTGTTGGTTAGGCAAATTTGTATATCTGTAAAGCTAACTTCTGACAAGTAGTTTCCGCTTGGATTAACGCCAGAAGTGTTTACAAAAAATAACTATTTTATTTTGTAGATTTTCTTGCAGTGGCGAAATACCCATATAGAATTTTTTGGAAATATTATTAATATCTCACAAAATATTTAGTACATTCTCAAACATATTCCCGTCAAAATTTGACCATCTCCATACCACCCCCACTATAACCTACTATCATCATCGGCTTGCGGCACCTCGAGCCGGTGCTCCGGCACCGCCTCGCGCCGTCCTTGCACCCCACCGCTGCCACCCGCACCGACTCCCGCCACCAGGGGCGACTCGTTGAACGTGAACCTGCCCGCGCCACCTGAAGGCACGTGCGGCGAGCTCACAGCTTCGCCGAAGCCGTCGTGGCGTCGCGGCGCGAACAGCGTGGGCGTCGAGGGAACGATACCGTCGTCCACCAAAGCGGCGCCGGCCTCGTCCAGCAGGCCGCTGGAGGCGGAGTGGTGGCGGAGGTGGTGGTAGGGGAGGGGCGCGACCGGCCTCGAACGGGACGAGAACGACGAGGGGCCGGGGGCGGGGGAGGAAGTGGAGTTGGCGGCGGTACCTAGATGGGCCAAGGCTGAGAAATAAAGGTTTGGTTTGTACCATATACATATAAAAGAATACTTTCCGTGTAAGCAACAGTCTCCCATACACCAACACAACGGGTGTTTCTCAAAAGTTGCTCACCCCTATAACTTTATTTTTTCAGATAAAAAAACGAGATTTGGTACGTTAGTATATAACAAACTTCCTGTTTCACCGGAAATGACTACAACTTTTGATTTTTAAATGGCACCCTCGGTATTTTTTTAATTTATTCGATAGAAAATGTAATTTTAAATTCCAATCTAAAGTGCCATGGCTGTGTTAAAAACACTAATTCTTAATCAAGGAGACTTAGAAAAATAGATTTGATAGTCTAATGTTTTTAGTGTCTTCTCCTGGCCAGATAGAAAATGCTCAAATCGTATTTTTAGTCATATCTCAATTTTTTCAAATGGAACAAGGGTGGCTCATTATAATATTTGGAAAATGCATTTTTTTACGAATAATTTGATACCACACACTTGGTATTTCGAGTCAAATTTTCGTTACAAACCGCAAGTTATAATTTCAAATAAGCTATATGCAAAAATGTCAAAAGTTGACATATGATATGACATTCTATTCAGAGTGTTATTTTTATAAAGCAAAAAAATGCCGAGGGTGTCATTTAAAAATCAAATCAATCATATCAAAGGTTGTAGTCATTTCCGGTGAAACAGGAAGTGACCGAAAACAATTGAATATGTTAATCAATCCTAATTTATGTCATATACTAATATACCAAATTTTGTTTTTTATCTAAAAAAATAAAAGTTATAGGGGTGAGCCACTTTTGAGACGCACCCGGTATAACATAAATCAGGATTGATTGACGTACTCAATCGAAGAGCACACGGAAAAAACGATGAGTGTTAATTGTCATTTAGGTGAGTCTAATGAGAGGATTAATATTCCAGTACTGAACGAAAGAATATCGAGTTTCTATAGTTTGGGAACATAAGTTCGTCCTTGTTTAGAAGATGAAAGTATTACACTTGAAATATTTTCCTACTGGTCAAATGGCGAGGTCGATTATCGATTGATTTTTTTATCCAAAGATATGAAGGTAGTTATTCCATCTATATCTCTGGTGTTATTTGAACGTCTTTAACATCGATTTCTTCTTTAACATATGATTCGGAACTGTCCAATCAAAGTGCTTACAGCTTACAGCATCGAGAAAGCGCAGAATACTTCGGACCATGCAATGATAGACTTATTTGGAAAATGCATTTATAATATAATATCTATTCTTCAATATTAGGACAAGAATGTATGCGGTGCCAGCACTATATTCTTTTATATGTACATGCTTTGTATATTTATATATGGACATATTTATTTAAAGATATCTTTTCTTCCCATTATAGAAAAAAACCAGCTACATATTTTTTTAAATTTTAGTCTTTTTAATAAAATTAGTATGTTTCTTCTTCTTTAAATGATAAACATTTAACAAATAAACCTTTCTTTTTAATAAACTAAAATATAAAGAGAAATTTCTAATTATCAAAATCATGTATTTTTGAAACACTTAATTTTCGCTAATTTAAGCTTGATTTTCATGCGTCCGTTATCCGTTGATACGATGGTCCGACGGCGCACGGTGGAGTATTAGCATGAAAAAGGTGATCGAAATTCGAAAAAGCAAATGTGTTTAAGATTTCCCCTCGGATTTCCCAAAAAAAGATAAATGATAAGTTAAATCATGTCTGCCAGGAATGGCGTTACTATGGGTCTGTTTAGTTGCATTCATTTGTTTCAACGAAACGTCAAAGTTGTTACCATAGATAAATGCAACAAGTTTAGATTGGAAAGCCCGTAAAAATTTTAGGTCGCGAAATTATTTTGGGTCGCGACAGTTATACGCGATCTGGCGCTGCTATAGCGGTCGCTAAGAACAACGGCAAACAAAAACAGAAATAATTTTCTCTTGTCAAAGTCAGAATCTTCACAAATCATAATAATCTTTCAAAATCTAAACCGCTCTCATTAAAGAAATTCCGAAAAGTGTTTATAGCGTCCATTCTCAAAGTAATTATTGCTATCTTGTGAGTTTAATTCAAGTTTTATTTACTCCAACCGGTGATAATTGTGAAAAAGTGGCATTACAAACTTAAAAAGCTGTGCTGAGAACTGTGAACTGCAAAAACCATCGTGGATCGTGGCATAACGTCGGTTTCCAATGTTTCATAGGTATTTCATACATGCGTCCTTATATAAAGTTTCTTGTATGCAACACACTGTATTTTATTTATAAAATTAAACCAAAATAATAATAAATTTGAATAAACAATATTTGGCGATATAATTCCGGAAAAAGCCGAACCGCTCCGAAATTTTCAAAAGTTTTGGGTTGCGACCGTTGCAAGAATAGCGCCAAATAGTGTTTACATTGTCCTTATGGGCACTTTCCAATCTAAACTTGTTTCATTTATCTATGGTTGTTACTTCTCACGGATAAGAGGTAAATGGCTAAATTTTATGTTTAAGATTATAAATTGTTGTTGTTCTTGTGCTCCTTTTACGTTTATATTATTGTTTTGATTGAAAATGGCTCAGCAAGCTGCAGGTATGTATTCTACAAAAATATATTATTTATTTTGATATTCTCTATACTAACGATTTTTTTTTGCAACTAAAAGTTAGGCGTTCAGAAAATTTGATTAAATTTGTGACATTTTTATTATACTTAGAGATTTAGTTGCGCATTTCGAAGAATTCAGCATATTGTCTACGTTTTACTTAGTAAACATTGGGCTTTCATACAGTAAAATAAAATACTGCGACTTTTTGCGACTTTGCTGATAAAATGAGAAAAACATTCTTGGTTTCCTCTAATTTGCAAATCAGTGATATACTAATGCGAGGTGTAAACCCCGATGGCATTGTTGTTTACAAAGCGATCGCATTAGTGCCATTAGCAGTATAGCACAATTTGGCATTAGTAGCGGCTTTAGTGGTATGGGCATTGGTCGCGGATCAGTAGTAGCATTAGTAGAATTAGTTGCGATATTACTACTGGCATTAGTGGCATTGACCGTGGAAACACTGGAACAGTGATTTTTCTTTCTTTTTTTAGAATCGACGAATTATCCTTTATTTTGTTCATATTATTTCCTCTTTAATTGAAAATAGCAATAATTTATATAAAGTCTACATCAAAAAATTTCGATCAACTATTGGTGTCAAATACCCCACTGTGCGGCGCTCTGATTGGTCATGGCGTTTTCGCGCCACTTTTCATCCGTAAATTTTTTATTCCAGCTCGTCAACGGACAAAGATCGTACAATAACGGACGTTTAGACACTTTTTTTGACAAATTTAATCGAACCTTAATAAAAATATAATAGTACAAGAGCTAGCACCGTCGGGAAAATGAAAATTTTAAGAAAGCTGGTTCTTTAATATATCTTTTGCTATGCATTCCTGACCAAAGTCTGTCTGTCTGCCGGTAGACTACTGCGGTTCACTACTGCGCATCACATCATCTGTACAGAGTATCCCATTTTCCTGTGTTTTATGGGATTTTTCGTTTATGAGTAGATATATAATGATGCGATTGTCACATTACTTTGCCACTTTTTTATGAAACTAAATATGCTACACATAGGTTTGTCCTAGCCTCCTTAGTTCCTGAAATACAGGACGAATTTTAGATGCTCAGTAGTGAACAGATGTTGAATACAGATATGATGCGCAGTAGTGAACGCAACGTCTACCGGCAGCCGGACGGTCCGCACTCTGTTCAGGAGAGCATAGCAAAAGATATATTAAAGAACAAGCTTTCTTAAAATTCTTTCTCGAAAACGTTGTTAGCTCTTAGACTATAAGTAAAACAGCGAAATCGTTATGGAAATGAAAATATAAAATGACACCAATTGGAAGCAATTCGTATATCCGATGAACGGAGGCATGAAAATGCAATAAAGTTAAAAACTGCGTAATTTTCTAACCAATCTCGAAGTCCTTTAATTCAATCAATAAAATTAATATTGTATCGTCGGAAAATGGATGCATGAAAATCAAGCTTTACTCAGGTATCTCTCTTTACTATGATAACCCAAACTGACTTTGATAATGATAATTTAGTTAATTTTATTTTAAGAATATGGAGGTCATTAAAGTAAACATTTTACTTTGAAATAAATATTTATTACCTACAGATATCTCTAAATAACAAGCAATCGATTGACAAATAATTAATATAGACTAATTCTAACTGCAGTCAAATCGCTCATTAAAGCCCCGCCTACACGTAACGTTATACTTGTCAGTCTAGCGTGTCAGGTAAAATGAAACATCGTCTAGAAAACTGACGACAGTTTTCAAGACCTTGTACGTTTTGACTGACAGGTAAAACGTTACGTGTAGATGGGGCCTAACACTAATAAATTACAGGGACTAAAAATATACTTAATCGACAATAATTTAATAATATTCTAAAGTCGTTAAATAAAAAGACTATGGAAGAAGACTAAATTCATATTTTTATATTTAATGACGGCATGGTAGACATTGTAAAACACTTTTCTGTCAACTATTTAACATCTTTCTTGACAAATTTGAATTAATAGAGTTGTTTTTTTTTCATTGGTTTTATGTAAAGGGTATAAGTCTGGAAAACATTTTGTTGGGATATTTTATAGTAAGTATAAGAAAATAGGCCTTTAAATACAAAGTTTTGGTAAAAACTTGAATTTTTGATATAACTTACCATGAAAGATCTAAAAACGAGTTGCGAAAGATTTTTTAAATTCACCCCCGAGAAGGGGTGAAATAAATAAATAAAATTATTTTTTCCTAAAAAAATAAATTCTATAAGGGTATTTCGCCACTGCAAGAAAATCTACAAAATAAAATAGTTATTTTTTGTAAACACTTCTGGGCGTTAATCCAAACGGAAACTACTTATCAGAAGTTAGGTTTACAGATATATATGTATATACAAAATTGCCTAACGAACAAAAAAATGCTTGACGTTTCGGAAAGTTTATCTCTTTCCGTCGTGGGAAGCAAAGAAAAATACAAAGAATAAAGAAAAAAACTATTTAAAATATTTAAATTCAACTATTCAAGAACACTTTAGTTTTTTAAAATAGATACGTCTACAAAAACCGTTGACGTTCTGTTAAAATTATATTATTATTTCATTTTAACAGAACGTCAACGGTTTTTGTAGACGTATCTGTTTTAAAAAACTAAAGGGTTCTCGAATAGTTGAATTTAAATATTTTAAATATGTTTTTGCTATTTTCTGTTACTTTTTTAACCAATTCTATGCATAATAAACATTTGCTAAAATAAATTTGTAAACAATCTGAAAATGTTGGGTTATGTGTTTCTGGCATTTAAAGCAACGTTGCCAATGCTAAACATAAATTTAGCGTGTTTTTTTTCGCCCATTCTGGGAATACGAAAGGCGGTCGCCAGAGGAACGGCTCCTTCCCATAATTTTGCTAACGAGATCTGACTATTTATAACCACGAAGTTCCACGAAAGAGTTTTGATTGCATTGGTTACAACTTATTTGCGGTGGGGGTTTATCTTTTTTTGATATAATATAACAAAAAAGATTAACCCCCTCCGCATAGAAGTTAAAACCAATGCAATCAAAACTTTTCCTCGTAACTTTGTGGATATAGGTATATTTAACTACATATTGTCAGATCTCATAATAGGTAATTTATTTAAAATCCCTAATCACCCAAAAAAATAGAAGATATGGCAACGTTGTAAATTTTCAAATTTCTATATTAGGTCTAGAATATATTTAACTCTCTCATTACATAGGAGAGAGAAAGAAGGATATATTTATGTCAAACTTCCATCTGGTCTCAATTTTCTTTGTTATTTTGTTAAGAAAAGTGTTTTTCAGTAAAATTTTGGACATTTTTTCTATCCTCAATCAAGTGTGGCGTTTAGATAAACTATAATAATATAATGAAAATATAGTGAAATTATTACTTTATAGAGCTGAAATAAAGAAAAATTCAATGTTGAAATTATTTTCCGTTTTTCTGAAAAACGGTAAGAGACCGCCAGGAAAAAAGTTCAGATTCGTAATCTACGAGCTCAAAATAAGGTGTATACCAATCTTGGTGAAAATCGGACGATTTCCAGTTTTCCCAATAATTACCATTCTTTGTATTTTTTTTGGTTCCGACGATGGAAAGAGATAAACTTTCCGTAACGTTAAGCATTTTTTTGTTCGTTAGGAGGCAAATTTGTATATCTGTAAACCTAACTTCTGACAAGTAGTTTCCGTTTGGATTAACGCAAAAGTGTTTATAAAAAATAACTATTTTATTTTGTAGATTTTCTCGCAGTGGCGAAATAACCATATAAGATTTTTTGGAGAGATGAATCCGCCACATAGGTACAGACATTTTTTATAGTTGAATTATTTCGAATTTTAAAGATAACTAGTTATTTTAATAAAACAGTTGTTACTATTCATCAAGAATAATAATTTTATTCTCTTGACGCTCAATTATTGAGAGTACCCTACTTTATATTTTAACAAAAACATTTTAACAAAAAAGAAAAATTTCAAACTTCAGCCATATTGAAACACTTCCTAAGACTTTATATTCAACGATTTTAGTAGAAGCTTTTCTGACAAATACTTGGGCAAATAAAATATAAAAGAGCTGATAAAAAATAAGGAAAATAAAAAAATAATTTCTATAGAATTATTTACCGTCTGTTCCGCTGCTGATCGCTTGGGACTGGGCTTGCTGCTCGGTACTTTCCTCTTCGGGACTTTCCCGCGCCTCGCTCTGGTTGGGAACTTCGCTCGAATCGTCGATGACCTCGACTTCGTTGATAACCTCCACCTCGTTGTTGCCACCCTCTTCTTCGTCCTCTACATCCTGGCAGTCAGCATCTTCATAATTGTCTTGCTCCTGAAATAAACATCACATAATCAAATTAAATTGACAAAAAAAAATAAAGTAACAATTAACAGTGGCGTCCAGTGCAAATCAAAGCAAGCTAGGTAAAAATTGGCAAAATCTATACTAATATATAAAATCCTTAAGTGACTGACTCACTGATTAATCACGATCCTGCTCAAACCAATTAAGACTGCCCTTCCCTAGACAAACTATAACACCTGCGGGGAATCCGAAGAGACGAGGTAGCTTTTAAACTAACAGAAGACTACATGCACTTACGAATCTCTCGATAAATCCAGGGTCAACGACGCCCAAAATCCCAACGGTGGACCATATTTTATGGGAAAATTATTTTGCTCGTAGATATTCAATATGTGTTAAAATTACAAAGTCAATACAAAATATGAAAAAATTAACAATTATTAGTGCATAGGAGAGAAATGGTTTATACAGGGTCTTAACAATATTAACCCGCATAAAAAATCATATTTTCGCAGATTCAGGTCAAGTCAAACCTTAACTAGTTTCCAAAAAATGTATGAGCCTAGAAGCATCATAATATGTAAAAAAAATGTTATACAGGGTGTCTCAAAAGTCAAAAGTAATGAACTTTTATAAAACCAGTTTTTTCTTAAAAATCGATTTTTAAGACTTTTGAAGACAATTGCATAAAAATATGATAAGAGCTGTACCTTCATTTTATTTGTAATTATTTTGAAAATGCAATATTTTATCAACTTACTTTGTAACTTATTGAAAAATATATATTTTTTATTTATTTATTAATATCTCTGAAACTATCCAAATATATTTACATCTTATCTTAGGATTATGTAAAGTGATCAGAAAGGAAGCCAAAAATGCAAAAATATACAGAGTGTTCCCTTTAAAAAAAATCATCCCGGTCCACTCACACTTTTTTGAGCCACCCTACAGAAGTTAAAATATTTTCCTGAAATACATCCTCCTACATACTTTAGGTTTGCAAACTTAAAAAAGTTTGTTATTCTAGAAGCTACAGATGCCTGACGCACTATAGCCGGACTGTGCATCCCAACAAAACAATATCCTCCACCACACAGTGTGGCAGTTTGGGGCAGATTTATTTTGCTCGACATAAAAGAATAAGGACTACCTAAGCGAATGACATGCATACAAAATACGATATTTCTACAGTTTTTTTAAAATCGTTCATAAATTTTAAAGTTTTTTTTTTGAAAAATATATTTTAACAAAAATGACCCTAATACAAATATGAGAAAATATTATTAAATGTGAAAGAGCAGAAAAACAGTAAAAACTTACCCCTATCATCTACATTCATCAAAAAAAAAATATTTGTAAAATATACGTTTTAAAAAAATTACAAAATTGAGACACTTCTGCTGCGATCACCAGTATAATACATAGTAGTATAATTTTTATCACTTTTAACAATATTAATTTTTTAAACAATTTAAAAATAATTGAGCAAAGTAAGAATAGGTACTAACAAATGTAATATCTGTATCATGTATCATGTACTATCTCTTTATTTAATGCGCTATAACGATTTTACTCTAATTTTTGCTTATTGAAGTCGCGCCGCGCGCCGCGCCGGTCCAGGTTACTGTGGACTTCCATTACTTCACAGTGGTCAAACCATCTTATTAATTATTTATTGTTTTATGTTTTTTTACATTGCATCATGATCAATGACCATACACACACAACAGATGCAACGCAAATTTTGTTTGCCGTGTGATTTGATTACAAAATAAAAATTTTAAATTATTGTGTAAGAGACAAGCGTTATAAAATAATTTATCCAAATAATTCGAATACGTATCTGGTTTCCTGTGCCCGCCTTCAAAAGCGTCAGCAACAAAATTCACGTGAGGGCGCCACATTACGGGCAACCAAAATGATCAAAATTGGGTTTGCAGAGGGTCGGGCGTCACAAAATCGTGACCATGTTTTTTAATATTTGGAAATAATTTTTGTGTCACTTTATTAAGGAAGCTTCCGGACATGCTCGTAATTAGTTTTAAAATCGATTTGAATACATTTAATGCTAAAAAAATTACTTATAAAATCATCTTTTTTTAGGGCGTTTTAGGGGTAAATTTGAAACAGTTTGAGTTGAGTTTGGGGAAGGAAATATAATTATAAGCACGTCTTAAGATGTATATGAACAAATCAAAAAAGATTCGTGAAGAAAGGTCACATGGTTTTTGCAGAATTTTGTGACAGCCAAACCCTTACAAATGCTAGGCTAGCGCCAGTGGGAAGGAGAGCCTTAACGTAAGAAGCTCAGTTTTGGCATACAGGTTGATTCTAGGGTGTAGAGGTTCGATAAGAAGGGATGTTTCGAAATTCCACTTCAAAGGGGGTGAAACCACGCCTCAAATATTACAATATTTCTTATTTAAAAACGGTCAAGTTTTGGAAAAAACGCTTAAACACGTATATTTTATTTTGTTTTTTACATATTTTAAGGTTTTTTAAAAATGTATACAGGGTGTTTCGAAAAATCACGACCCTGCTTAAAAAGCTGATTTTTGGAAAACGGATTGACTTTAGGGTGTAGAGGTTCGATAAGAAGGGATTTTTCGAAACTCGAATTCTAAGGGGGTGAAACCACCCCTCAAATATTAGAATTTTTTTATTTAAAAACCGGTGAGTTTTTCGGAAAAACTCCTAAATACGTTATTTTATTTTGTTGTTTTACATATTTTAAGATTTTTAAAAAAATTATAGAGGGTGCTTCATACAATATGACCACTGAGTAATCACGATTCTGCTTTAACTGCTTGACGATTAAAGCTGATTTTTGGCAAACGGATTGACTGTGGGGTGTAGAGGTTCGGTAGGTTTTTGGAAAAACTCCTAAATACGTTATTTTATTTTGTTGTTTTACATATTTTAAGATTTTTAAAAAAATTATAGAGGGTGCTTCATACAATATGACCACTGAGTAATCACGATTCTGCTTTAACTGCTTGACGTTTAAAGCTGATTTTTGGCAAACGGATTGACTGTGGGGTGTAGAGGTTCGGTAAGTTGGGGTTTCTCGAATCTCAAATTCCAAGAGGGTAAAAACGCCCCTCAAACCTATACAAATATATAAAATCCTTAGCCAGTTTGTATGTTAATGGAAATTCTTGCTTTGCTTGATCATCACCATTACAAATGATTAATTCGACGCGAGGTACACGCTAGTAATAAAATAAAAATAGCATAATGTGTAATAAATTAAGTAATCAATATAACTATTTGTTACTCTAAATTAGGGGATTTTTTTCAGATTTGGCATCACTGCGCGGGACAGCGGTCGACACCGTCGAAATTAAATCACGCCTTACTTCCGTTATTTCTTTCTTACATTGACCTTCCAGTCATTGAAGTATGCAGAGGACGACATGACATGACTATTTGTCCCTCTCCCTCTAAATTTACATAATATCCTAACCTAGTTCGTAAAATTATATTAGCTCTGGGTTAAAAACATAGCTCAAAAATACTTAGGACAAAATTAAAGCAAAAATAATAATTATAACAATATTCAACGTAATGACATAATGATTGACATTATGTACAGGGTGGGCCAAATTGCTATTATTGATAAGGTCACAAAAAAGTAATTTCTAAAATGTTTATCGTAATTCAGAATTCAATATATCGAAAACATCCCGACGAATAATCAATTCATTTTTGTTTTGTTTGTTTCCTTTCATGTTTCTCTGTTTTATTTTTAAAATTTAATACGAATGTCTTTAATTTGAAATTGTTGTAACTACTGCAACGTCGCTTAATATCGTCGCATGACGCAAGCCCGCCACAGCGGCGCGGCTCCTTAAAGAACCAGTTGACATGCGGCACTCGGTGGCAGACGATTGGGCTGTTGATGGCATTGTCGAAATCATATCACATCGAAAAAACAGCGAAAAAACAAAATACGTATTTAAAATTGTTGAGTGAAACACGTATTTTCTTAGACTGAAAGTAGTTCGTAAAGTGGCGATAAGAGACAATAATTCTCAACATTTATTCATTCAGAAAGGTATTCAAAGTAATGTGCGCTTTTCAAGGTGTTTTGTAAATCAGTGGTTCAAATTGTGATAAAGCCTATATGAAAAGAATGTGTTAGAAATGAGGACTGTTATTTTAGCAGTTATTATAATAGCATGTACAAGTAAAGCAGCACAGTGAAGTGTATTTTAGTTAAGTGTGTGTCAAAAAAGAGAACTGTCACAGTTACATCGATCTCTCATAAGTATCTTTTTTTAATGTTGGGTAATTTTTTTTTACTTATTTTCTGTAATAATACCACAATCTTAAAAATGTAATGCATCTCTGCCAAACTACTCAGGTGGTGTGATTTTATGGCTTTTTTAAGCATAAAATTTCTTGTCTTGTCCATATGGCAACACAGGGCGTCGAATTACCTGAGATGCGGGCTTGATTCAGGTAATTGGAGGTAGTTGGCGATATCTGCCGGCGGTTCTTAAAATGGTGCTATTATTTTTTTAAAATTTCAAAGTTAAATAACTCGGTTATTTTCAATTTATTTTAAAAATGGTAAAGAGAAAATATGTTTCTTTTGACCAGATCTACCACCCCTTAAAATAATTGCACTTATTTCTGGGACACCCTGTATATTTCTTACCATTTCTTCCATGTCGTAGCCTTCGGTATCGTCAGGATCGTCCTGATCATCGCCTTCACCCTCATCCGGGCCGGCATCATCGTCACTCTCCACCACGATGACGTTGTCATCGTCGTGATCCCGCTGGCTGCTGGTCGGCACCTGATACTCCACGTCCATTCCTCTCATAGTCTCGCTAGTAGTTCCGGCCTGCTAAAATAACCAATCATCAATACTAGAACTCGTATTTATAGGTAATAGATTCTTTGTTCCAAAAATTAATTCGCCATATCAGATTTTTTATGGTTGGTTTATACTTCGAGTATTAGTCCTAACCACAGACATCTAAACAAAGTCAGACAAAACTACTGTTTACATTTTATCGCGATCAAACATAGTTTTCAATAAGAAGCGATGATGACAAATTTCTGCGGATTGCGTTAGATCTACGGCTTGTGTTTTGAAAACGAAGTAAGTATGTTATTATTGTTGTTAATGGGTTTTTCGGTACCTATAGAAACGGCGTACTAAATATACCGTGCTGGCTTACTTTTGGGTCGGTATTTACGTCTGTGGAAGTAAATCGCATAGGGATCTTATTAAGTCGGAGTGAGAGAAATGCGACGTTGTGCTGTTGCGGCGTTGCTGGTGGGTCTTTCACTATCAAGTAAAGTAACATCACGACCGCAAACCGCTTATTTTTAAACGACTTTTTTCGAAAAGATAACTAGATAGGATCATTAGATATGTTTCTGAGCATCTCGTCAGTGAAACGTGATAACCTGCTAACTCCATTTTTTATGTCAATACGTTTTTTATACCATTAGAAAGAGAAAAAAATACTGTAAAAGTAGGGACAGCAAATACATTTTTGCAAAAAAAAAATGTTATTTTAACTCAATAATATCTGCTAACTCCAACTGATCTAAAATAGCCACTCAAATGCTGCTATCTCCGTAATTTCCGTTACGATCACGCTAAAGCAAACAAACGGATTCTTACTCGTATGTTTCTTTAGTACAGTACGTCGATCCAGGGTCGCAATAGGCCAAAGGAGCCCGAGTGGTAAAGTAAGGAGGGGCCTGTGTGGATTTTTTTGCGTATTTTTCCCCTTACGTTTTAGTCAATTTTTCCCTATTATATACAGAATGAGTCTTAAATAAGTGCAAATATTTTTAGGGGTAGTATATTTCGACCCAAGAAACACCATTATGAGTTTTTTTGCGCGAATTTTTTTTTGAAAATTTGGATTTTTTTTTAAATTTTTGTAAATTTTTTTAATTTTTAGTCTAAAAACATACTTTGTTTGTAATATGGCAACATTGGTAGTAGATTAAATTTACAAGAAAGAAAATCGAGTGATTCTCAAAATTTTAGCAAAAAATTGGAAATTTTAAAAGTGAAACAACTCGGTTGTTTTGAAAAAAAAACGGTAGAGAGAAAATATTATGTTTCTTTTATCGAGATTTACCAGCACTGAAAATATTTGCACTTATTTAAGACTCACTCTGTATAGAAATCAGGGAACTACCCTAATGCAAGGTAAACCAATGCAATGCAAAAGCAAATATTGTTAAGAATAAATAATGAACCATAAAGGGGATACGAGCAATTCATCGGCGTGCTATAAATAGTTTAAATAACCATTACTGACTTGTAGAAGAATTTCCATAATACCTAATCAGTTTTATTTTTTTCGACGTTTTTCCACGTAAATGATACATAATCTTTATAAAAATTTAAAAAAAATAAGGAGAAAAGTGATAAAAATTTAATAAAATCGCGCTCTTTTCATCCTATAATGACCGCACTGTTTTCCAAGCTCGGACTACTACCGTTGTAAAAAATAGAATAAGCATGGAAGGATTCTACCATATCTTCTAAGAATTATAAGTTTAATTTATAAATTATTTTCATTTATTTTCATATTCATAAGTCCAAAAGTTCAGTTCTTTAAAAATGCATTTAAAATTCATTCGTTTTTGGACTTGTATGTTTTGATTCTAGACCGACGATATTATAAATATATGGTTATGCATATCATATCTTTTAAATTTAATTCATTATTTCTAAATCTGTTTGGGTAATATTCAATTCCATTTTCAAAATTTCCAAAAAAAAAAGGTTGCTATCTCCAGAAATATAATTTTATTTCTTATTTCTGCAAGACGAATATCTGCTATCTCCCTATTGTGTCTGAAAAAATTAAGTAACACGAAATATTGAGTTTTATTGTTCCCCAGCAAATAAAATGCTTATTTATTTATCATATAAACGCATGAAAATACTTCCTACATGTGTACATATTTTTTTGTATCGTTTTTTTGCTCTCCTGTAAAATTAGGAATAATGGAGTTTAGCAGTTTATCACATTTCACCAAGGATATATCATTTTAGTTAAAATACATATGTAGATTACGCCTTTGAAATTATTTTTAGTTTTCTAATTCAATTAAATTAAATTAAAATTTATTAGGACAGTAACTGTGACAACGCCGCTTCAGGAAGACTGTTTGGTTTCTATGTTTTTTCGATGAATAGTAAGAGTTCAATGGATTCATTCAAATTATGTTTAACAGTGTTGCCACGCGGTTTTTGTGAACTTTTGTGTTTTTCATGTGATTTTTACCGTTTTCTTCGCAAAAAAACTGTTTAAAGTATTTTTAAATATCTAAGATGGTTCTCCAGTGCTTAGTTTGCAAAAAAGTGGACTATTCTAGTCCCAAACTGTATTTTTAGCTGATTTAGGCTTAATCTAACCTCACTTATCCTTACCTGCACACGGCTCCTTTTACTCTGCTGCTGCGTCTTGGACGACTGCTCCTGCCCCTGACACACCTCCGTATCGGCATCCCTAGGTCGCTTCAACCCCGCCTGAGTCGTGGTCACCGTATTCGAGCTGCTCGAACTGGTACCTTGCTCCTGAGTACTTCCGCTACAGGGAGGTTCCACTCTGGGCGACACCACGGCCAAAGCCTGCTGCTGCGGTGCCGCCTGAACCTGCACGTTGCTGTCGTCATCCTCGGAAGACTGAGTAGGCGGCACGGCGACTTGCCTGGGACCGAGCATAGCCGAACTGGCCGAACTGGTAGCCGGAACGTAATCGGTGTGGGAAGAAGTAGGACTGCTGGACATCGCTTCAATCGAAGAGGACCCTGTAGTGTGAACCTGCTGCTGGGGAGGAACCATGACGGCGCTGGGGGTTTGGGTAGTGGGTAAAACGGCGGCTGTTCTGAGCTGTTGAGACATGGGTCTGATGCTGGCCAGAGGAGTCTCAGCGCCGCTTCTCCAGGGGGGTATAGGAACTGATTGGGTCTGAGTGTTTGTAGAATGACCCGCCATTGGTTTTATATCAGCTGTCGGTCTTTCCGTAGAAGATTTCTCGCTAGAGGCCGAGCTAGTGCTGGGTTTCGAACTTTGCTGTTGCCCGAGTTTTCTCTCGAGTTGACTGATCCTCTGGTTAAGAGTCTCCATTTCTGCGTTATGGGACTCTTTATCCTGCTCAATCTTAGCCAAAAGCCCCTCTTTCTCCTGCAAAAGTAGATTGATTTTCTCCCACAAGTCATTATTACTTCTTCCGCTTTCTGTAGAAGATTCCCCACCAGCTTCGGAACCAGATTTTTTGCTCAATTCCTGCTTGAGACCGGCATTTTGTTCGGTAAGATTAACAATCCTCTCTCTAGCGTTCTTAAACAATATTTTATACTTCTCCTCGGTGTCTTGGCTTACTTGTTTAACCCTTTCGGCTTGAGATCTATCCTTTTTATTCAGTTCTTCGTTGAGACTGGCGTTCTGCTCGGTAAGATTCACAATCCTTTCCCTAGCGTTCTTGAACAAGACCTTGTATTTCTCCTCAGTCTCTTGGCTAGCTTGCTTCAAGCGCTCGATTTCAGTTTTCAGCGATTCGATTTGTTCTTGACCGCCGGCGATTTGCTGGTTGAGTTGATCGCTAGCTTCGCGATGCGCTTCTTCGAGTTGGTTCATGCGCTCCTCGTGTTCAGTGCGTTGTTGTTCCAGAGCTTGGTTCTGTTTTTCCGCGCTCATGTTCTGCTCGCTTTGGTTCTGTTCGGTTTGTTGCTTCAGAGCTTCCACTTCCTTGACTTGGTCTTCATACTGGTTCTTGTATTTCTTTGCGATTCTTCGAATTTGCGAAAGATTGTTTCTTAGCTCGGTAATTGTGACGTCTTTACCCGCCGTATCTTCGGTAAGAACTCGGTTTTCTTCAGTGATTTTCCCGTTGTTCTGCACTTGTTGATCCAAGTTCTGTGTAAGCTCGGAAACTTGGTTTTGTAGCGCTGCAACTTGTTCTCTAAGAGAACTAATCTCTTCTGCTTGGTTCCTGCTCTGAATATTCAAAGCCTTGAGCTGTTCTTCGAGTTTGTGATTGTTTTGTTTCAGAATATTATTATTTTCGGTAAGTTTGGCTGTGTTTCCTCTTTCAATAGTGAGTTGTTTAGCCAGAGTCTCTCTTTCTGTCTGCAATTTCTTCCAGTCCTCTGGACTAGTTCTATTAGTTTTCTCGATAAGTTGATTAGCTCTCTGTCTCCATCTGGTACATTCTCCGCGAAGCGAGATATTTTCAGTTTGCATCTGATCAGCTTTGGTCATCAAGTCCCTGTTCCTTTCCTCCAAAGGAGCTACCTCAGCTTCAAGCCTCTCAGTTCTAGCTCTTAGTGTCGTTATTTCCGCTAGCAATTCGTCACGTTCGTGTCTTAGCGCTCTGTTACTATCGGTGATGGCGTTAAGAGTTTCCAGCTTGCGCAACACCTCGGCATGTTTCGAAGCGGATACCACCGAAACTTCATTCTTCTGCCTTTCAATCTCCATCAAAGCCTTGGCTTCTTCAAGTTGTTTAGATAGCGCGTCATACTGAGCTTTTAATCTAAAGTGTTCAGCTTCGATTATGTCGGCTTTACTAACAGCAATGTCCTTCTCTTGTCTCAAGTATTTAATAATCTTCAAGAGTTGGTCCGAAGAACTAACTTCGTCTTCTGTCAAAGACCGATTGAATGAGGTATCAGCTGAAGGAAGACTGGTGTTGTGGCCTACTTGGGCATCAGCCGAAGCCTGTGCCTGTAGGATGGTTAACTGGGTGTTAAGTTGCTGAATCTGGTCCAGAAGAAGACTGTTTTGATCGTCCATGTTTTTGAACCTTTCCTCCAATTTCTCGCGTTCTTCGTTGAGGATTCTTTGTTGCTCTTCGGCGCTTTGTTGGTGCTCAGCCAAAGCGTCCTCCGCCCGTTGTTTTTCCGATTCTAAAATTCTGATGCGATCAACAGTTTGATCAAGTTCAGCCTTTATGTCGGTGAGTGTTTGCAAGTCTGCCGAATGCAACGTCACTTCCCTGGCGTATTTGTTCTCGACGATCTTCAGCTGCTCGTTGAGCGCCTTGATGTCGCTTCTGGCGTTCTCCAATTGTTGCCTGGCAGTGCGCAAGTCCATGTTGCGCACGTTCAACTCCTCCTGAAGCTGTTGCGACTTGGTTTTAATACCGGCACTTGCTATGTCCTGGTCGTCCATTTGTATGGACAGTTCGCCTTCGAGTTCGGAACATTTTTCTTGGAGCTCTTTAACAAGTTGCATCTGGCGTTCGATCTCGTCCTTCAAGTTTTGTTCTTGCTCCAGGACCTCCTTGAGTTGGTTCTCGGCGGCTTGTGCCACGTTAAAGTACTCTTCCGACGCTTCTTTAGTCGCTTTCAGTTTGGTTTTGAGGGAACTGATCTCGGCTTGTGCATCTGTCAATTGTTGTTCAAGGTCTCTGATTTTGCGACCTTCTACGCTGGCGTCGGGTATAGCAAAGACGGAACTTTTCAGCTTCTTGGAGAGTTCGTCGATGTGGTTTGTTTTATTGATTAACTCTTCCCTAGCTTCAGTTATCTCTCTCCTTAACTTATCAGCTTCTTTTTTCTCTTCTTCCATACGTTCCACAGCTTGTTTCGCTTGTTTTTCCAAGTGTTCTGATAGAGATCTAAAGTGATTCTGTTCTTCCCCGAGTCGTCGACGTAACGAAGAACATTCCAGGTGGGCTTCGTCCAATCTGGCTTCCAAACGTAGCTTACTCTCGGCGTCGTTACGTTCTAAAGTGACCTTTATCAATTCTATGTTGCTCTGAAGCAAGTTTTGTTGGTGAGCGTGTTTCTTAAACATCTCGCACTCTTTCAACAGTCTTTTTTCACCGTCCTTTAGTAAAGCGTTTTCTTTCTGAATGTTACCTAGCATTACCTCGGCCTTGGACAGTTTGGTTTGGCACTGAAGAGCTTCATCCTTGAGATATGTAGCGGCTTGTTCGTGTTTAATGATAGCTTCGCTGTATATTTTGTTCTGTTTCTCTAAAGCGCCGATTTGTTTCTTGTAGATTTCGGCGTTGTTTTGTAGGATTTTGAATTTTTCTTCGTTCAGTTCAGCTTGGGAGGTTAGTTTGCAATTGAGCCTGGTGAGTTCTTTAGCCTCGCCGCGGATGCTTTCTATTTGTTCCAGGAGTATTTTTTCGTGATCTAACCGTTCTTTTCGGTATGTATCGTTCTCTTCCTTGAGCATGTCGATTTGTTTCTTGTATTTATCGATTTGCACCTCCAAATCGTGCATTTTCTCGTCGTAATTCGGTGAGGAATCCGCATCTGACTGAGCTTTGGAGTTATCTCCGTTTTCAGCGCCAGGGAAGCTCTTATCCATCGACATATCCCCAGCACCCTTCATTACTTGACCGTACATGTTCTTATACATATCTCGCTGGTTTCTTAACGTGGCCATCATCTTGGTTTGTTGATCGCGCTCTTCGAGGAGCTCGTTTTGGGACTCCCTCAACTCTTCTAACTTCCTTTGGAGATTGGCTATAGCAGCGGGATCGAATGACTCAGCTTCTTCTTGGCGTTCAGTTAAATCTCTCACCAGAGCTAGTAATTTTTGGTTGTTGGCTTGTAGTTCGGCGATATCGTTGAAGGTGACTAATCGTTTTGAGATTATATCGGCCGAACTGATGCTGTCACTCAAATCGTTGTCTGTGGAGGTCGAAGATGATCCGATTCGTGAATGTTCGACTTCCTGGAGTAAATGAACGACTTGTCTGGATAAATCGGCGACCTCCTTCTTGAATCGCTCGTTTTCTCGCATAACCTGACTTTCTAACCTTCGGTTTTCCGAGTTGGCGTCGCGTAGTTGTTGTAATTCGGCCAAAAGGGAATCGTTCGAAGCCTTGAGCGCGTCGTTCGCGTCCAAGGTGTCGCTGTATTCTTGGCGAAGTTTCTTGATCAGGGGACCTTTTTCTTCAATTTCTGCCACGATGCAGGTTATGTAGTTGTTAAGTCTCTTGCATTCTTCTTCTTTGGTGGTTAACTGTTCGTTCACGGACACGTAGCGAGAATAAACTTCGGTGTAGGTCATGCCGGATTTTATTAGTCTTGAAGCTGAAGCTGCCGATGGTGACAGACCTGGAATTATTTTTTTTGGTTTTGACAAAATTTTAAGTTTAGTTCAAAAATAGTTTTTCAAAAATAACCTACATGGATAAGTAAATTCGCTTCAATTCGATCAATGCCCATTACTATTAAATCAAGAGAAATAATTAAAAATAAACACTTCATACCTTCTAAATCTTTTCCTATTGAATCATGTCTAGTTTGTTCCATAATTTCATTGGCCGTTTCAAGTTCCTTCTTTAGCATAGCGATACAATCATTTTTCTTTGAAATTATCTCCTCGTTAGCCAACTCAGTCTCCTTGTGTTTGGTTTCGAGCTCACCATACTGTTCAGTTGCTTGCCTTAACAATTCTTGAACCTATATTATTATTAACAAAAAAAAATCTTTATTTAGAACTATTCTTAGAACATTATTAGGTTTGTTCGAAAGCGAAACCTGAGTGCCGTACAGCTGGCACATGAAAGCATTAAACAAGTTGCAACAGAGACACTTTAGACAACTGTTAAGAATCAAATGGTACTACTATGTCTCAAACGTATCAGTCCTTGAAAAACGTAGTTGCCAGAGCGCCGAAGCCATGATTACTAAATCCCGCTTAAGATGGGCTGGTCAGGTATGCAGGATACAAAAAAAAACTACCGAAATCTCTTCTTAACGGTGAGCTTGTAGACGGTAAGAGGAGACAGAGTGGACAACTCTAAAGGTACAACGATATTTTCCATGAAAACTTAAAGGGCATAAGCATGCAGAATCAATGGGAGGAAGCAGCGCACAATAGAAAGTAATGGAGAAGAATTGTAAACTCAGTTAACAAAGACAAAGAGGCAACAAAGTAATGTGATTTTGAATTTTTTAAAGAAAACGCCTTGCGAACCATTTTCTGATGCGAGTAATGGCAGCAAGTAATAAATAAATAAATAAAAATTACTAACCTCGCTTAAGGCATCTTTTAGTTCTTCAGCATGCCGATGACTCTCCTCGTACATAGCCTTGTAAGCGTTGGCCATTTTGGTTTTAGCCTCAATTTCACACACATAGGACTCGTTTGTTTTGGCATGTGTCTCGCTTTGGGCGAACATTTTCTGAGCGAGTTCCTCATTTCTACTCGTTAAATTCTGATTCAGTTCCGTGAAGAAGTTGACTTGTTCTTGGGCCACTGTCAATTCTTGAGTTTTCTCTGCCAGTTTGGTTTCGAGTTGGATGCATCGGGACGTGTTATCGCGTCGCATATTTAACAGTTCTTCAGTTCTTTCATGCAGTTCCGCTGGAAAAGTTTTACATTTTATGAGTATGGGGAAAGCAAAAAAAAAGTTAGCGTGCATGTCATGTTGAAATTATTATTAATAATAATAGCTCCCGTATATATCGTTTAACGCCTTGGGAGTAGCAAGGTACAGCTTGCCATACTAGAGCCGTTCGGTATACAAGGAAGGTAATGTGGCTAGCATTACGCTTCAACTGCCTATTATTACCTCAGGATTGTGAATCCCAAGTACTCATTTAGGGCTGAGTCGAACTAGGTACCTAAACTATTTTTATTTTATTAAAAATAGTCGGCTGATGAAATGCGGGCTGTGGGATTCGAACCTACCACCTTCGAATTGGTAGACGAGCGCTGTACCTCTATGCTACCGGACACCTTGGTTGAAATTATTACCAAATTAAATTTAATTAATAGATAGAAATTCTTTTTTGAAACTTTGAGCGCACTTTTTCCTTTTTTTATTATCTTATATCTGGTTAAAAAAAGACAGCATACTGCCACATCACACATCATACATAAGTAAAAAAAAAATAGTACGAGACCTAGCAACGTCGGGAAAACACGAATTTTAAGAAAGCAGACTCTTTAATATACAGGGTGGTCTGAACTGTATTCCGGAAACTTCTGCAGCATATTCTGCAGATAAAAATAAATAAAAAAAGTTCGTATAAATGTATGTCCTAAAATGCTGAGTTTCGGAGATACAGGGTGTAGAACTTTCATTTTTATTACACTTTTTTTCAAATAATTTCTGAAGTAACGTCAATATTTGGATGAAATTCGGTATCTGGGAATTTTTTGACATGAGAAATTTGATTTTTATGTCAATATGACTCCTACTTGTAGAGGGCGCCACCCACATATTTTTAACTGGTTTGAAGAGCAATAACTTTTCGTCTGTATCTGTATAAAACTACCGAGTAAAAAAATATACATTTCCGACGTTTTTTACGAGTAATGGTTCTCGAGTTATTTGGAATCAAAATTATCAACACCTGTCATCATTGACATAAATTATACATGATGACTAAATGTTTTCGTACCAAAAGTTCAACAGAAACTGTTTTATCATTTTTTTTTTCGAAAAAAAAAAAATTACGTTTAATTTAAAAAAATAAAAAGTTCCCAAATTTATCATTTCAGTCAAATAACTATCTACTCAACATGTTTATTTTTTGTCAATAATAACATGTATTGCCTATTTTCGTTCTAAATATCTTGAGAATGGTTGCTCGTAGCGATTTTTAGCAAGAGACATTTTTTACGTAAAAAACACGGAAATATATATTTTTTCACTCAATAGTTTTATACAGGTACGGACGAAAGGTTATTATATTTCAAAACAGTTAAAACACATGTAGGTGGCGCCTCCTACAAATAAGAGTCATGTTGACATAAAAATAAGTTTTTCATGTCGAGAATCTCCCAGACACCAATTTGCATCCAAATATTGATGTTAATTCAGAAATTATTAAAAAAAAAAAAAAATTAAACTTCTACACCCTGCATCTCCGAATCTAAGCATTTTCGGACATTATTTATACGAACTTTTTTACTTGTTTTTATCTGGAGGATATGTCGCCGAAGTTTTCGGATTACAGTTCGGACCACCCTGTATATTTTGCTAGGCTCTCTGAAACGGCGTGCAAGCCGTCTGGCTGCCGGTAGACGTTGCGTTCATACTGCGCATTGTAATGAAGCTCCAATATTTTTTTATTTAGTTCGTTAAATTCTAGTATTGAATATAAATCGAGCAAGTCTTATTCACCAGAAGAGATAGCGTTTGTGGGTTTATGAACTGTACTGTATATAAGTAGAATTTCATACTTTCGTTTGTTTTGAAGGATTATTTTTTAGAAGAAAGAACACATTTTTATCATCAAATAATTATTCAGAATTAAAAATATTTTTCGGTTTTAATATACAGGGTGGTCCGCACTATATTCCGGAAACTTTGGCGGCATATTCTGCAGATAAAAATAAGCAAAAAAGTTCGTATAAATGTATGCCTTGAAATGCTTAGTTTCAGAGATACAGGGTGTAAAAGTTTCATTTTTATTTCGATTTTTTCCAAATAATTTCTGAAGTAACGTCAATATTTGGATGAAAATTGGTGTCTGAAAGTTTTTAGAGATGAGAAATTTGATTTTGATGTCAATATAACTCCTAATTGTAGAGGTCGCCACCTACATATTGTCAAGGTGTATGTGGCGCTAAACTGTATTGCTGGTTGCCTAAATAACCGCAACATGCATCCAGAAACCGGCAAATTCGTCAGAAAGTAAAAGAATATTACATAATTCTTTAGAACGTTCCAGAAACACTCGCCAGAGAGTATATAAAGCCCGCGCTTGGCAAATGGACCAGTTTTGAAGTTTGATAATACCGCGTTTTAAATTGTGAATTAATTGGCGAAGGTGCCAGAACCGCTAGAGTAATAGTAATTCCATAAATTGTGTTGTAATTAGTATAAGTTGTGTGTACAGAGTGAGAAAAAATAAATTCGTTAAGTATTTTATCGTGAGTTTAAATTAGTGGACCCACGGAATCCGTAACAATATATAGTTTTTAACTGGTTTGAAGAGTACAGTTGAGGGTTGGAACCTTTGGTGTCTAGTTTTTAATCATTTGCTGATGATGCTAACATGGTTAGCGAAACGCGCGTCCAGTGTAAAAGTAAAAGTGTTTTGGTGTACTGTGGTGATTTAGTGTTTTTATTTTGCTGGTTTGAAGAGTAATAACTTTTCGTCTGTACCTGTATAAAACTACTGAGTAAAAAAATATACATTTACGACGTTTTTTTACGTAAACAAGATCTCTTTGTAAAAATCGCTACGAGGAATGGTTCACGAGATATTTGGAATCGAAATTATCAATACCTGTCATCATTGACATAAATTAAACATGTTGACTAAATAGTTATTAGACTGAAATCATAAATTTGAAATGTTTTTGTGTCAAAAGTCCAACAGAAACTATTTGATCATCATTTTTTCACAGAAAATTTATGATTAATTTAAAAAAATAAAAATTTCCCAAATTTATTATTTCAGTTAAATAACTATTTGCTCAACGCGCGTTTATTTTTTGTCAATAATGACATGTATTGACTATTTCCGTTCTAAATATCTTGAGAACGGTTGCTCGTAACGATTTTTACCAAGAGATATTTTTATGTAAAAAGTCACGGAAATGTATATTTTTTCACTCAGCAGTTTTATACAGATACGGACGAAAAGTTATTACTCTTCAAAAAACAGTTAAAACACATGTAGGTGGCGCCCCATATAAATAGAGTCATATTGACATCAAAATCAAATTTCTCATGTCAAAAAACTCCCTGGAAAAAATCGAAATAAAAATGAATTTCTACACCCTGTATCTCCGAAACTAATCATTTAAGGGCATACATTTATACGAACTTTTTTGCTTATTTTTATCTGAAGCAAGAACAGTTAACCTACTAGGACTGCTCATTCAGCCGAAAGTGTCTGCCAGGTGCATGCGAAAACTCCTCGCTTTGGGACGTCATTGTAGTCCTTGTCATGATAGTGTGTATTATTGGTTGCCGTATGCAAAACATTCATTATTTAGTTTATTTATTTAAACACCTAATTTTTTTTTAATCATTTATTTATGACTTTTAATCAGTACAAGTACTGGCACCAAGGCCTAAGAAAATAATACATTTCAACAGTAATAACAAAATTATTAAAATCATTCAAGAGTCAATATGTATGCAGTATAGAAAATTAACTGTATAAATCGTATTAAATACTCGGATAATGCATTTTTAAGAACAGCAGTTCCCAGCATCACCTTTTGTAGGCATTCTTTTCAGAGTATTTCCATAGTTTGCTTTAAAATAATTAATAAACAATATCGTAGGCACTTAATAAGCACTTAGTTACAATCCACAATACAAAATGAATGTATTTATACACTCTATAGCTCTAAAAACTTTAAAAACACCTTTTTCACATTTAAAATCGACAAAATAATTAACTCAGCATTTCTCAGCTGTTATTTTTATAAGTTTACGTTAGGCAACCAATAATACAGACTATCATGACAAGGACTACAATGACGTCACAACTGTCAGCTAAAGCGCGGGAAGAGGCGAACATACGACTTATGAGGATGAGCAATCCTGTTAGTTTACCGTTCTTGTATCTGCAGAATATGCCGCCGAAGTTTTCGAAATACAATTCAGACCACCCTGTATCTAACAGAGATGTTCTTGTTCATCTGCGATTCAATCGCAGCGATTTTGAAATCGCGATGACATACATACCATACATATCGCGATCACAACCTGTGATTGGCTGTCATAGGAAACTGCGATCGCGATTTCTATTTGCGAGTTTCAATTTAGGCAACCAGTATTACTATAGTTGCGATTTTGCTGCGATTGATTTTGTAAACTGGGACCGTGATTTCTATCTGCGAGTTTGAATTTTTATGAGTTGCGATTTGCGACATTGTTGCGAATGTAATTTTATGGTTTATTAGGTTTATTAAAGCATTTTATAGTAAACTGCGATTGAATTTTCTCTCTGATATTATTTATTTATAGAGAAGGTATTACTTTATAGGACCATGATCATAATATATCGGGTGTTTCTCAAAAGTGGTTCATCCCTAACTATAAATTTGGTATGTTAAATTAGATTAGTAGTTCTCGGAATATTGGGACAGCCAGTATTTTTTTTTCTAATCTGACATTTGCCATTTTCAATCTTATTCCGAGTTTTCTTTGACCAATTTGAAATTAAATCTGCGTTTTGTTTAGGTAAAACTGCAATTTCCATTGCAAAAACCACTAAATACAACTAATGAACAACAAAGAGATCATGGCAAGCTCCTCTTGCTGTTACATTGCATTAGAGAGGTAAATATTGATATGAAAAAATCAAAGTAAAAAAGTAGCTGTGGCAACATTGAGACGTGCATTCATGAAATATCTTGATGACATGCACATCAAATTTTATTGATTTTACTATACTTACCAGTTAAACTTTCAATCTGACTGTTCATTAACGATCTCTCCTGCTCTAAACGTTTCTCTTTATACTCTAAAGTAACTTTCATCGAAGCTATTTCATCAGCCTTGGCTAGAGCTTCACATTTAGTGGTCACAGCATCTTCTAACTGTTTCGTGAGAGTCTCGAGGTCTAATTTCATTCGTTCAATCTCCGCATTGCGTCTCTGGATCATTGTGAGGTGTTCATCGCGCTCATCCACAGCCATGTTACGCTGATGACGAAATTCTGCTGCCTCTGCCTCAAGCTGATTGGACTGGGCTTGTAACTTAACCAGTTCAGCTAAGTGTCTGGAAACTTGTGTTTCCAGCTCTGTAATAGACGTACTAGCGGCTTCCAGCCGAGCTTTGAGAGCTTCGTTCTCGGTCTGCGTGGACTCATTTTGTTCCTTAAGCTCCGTATAGCTTTTTTCTTGAAAAAATTTGAGTTTAGCAAATTATAAAGAATTCTTTGGTTATGTGAGTATAAACAGTGTTTTATTTCCACTTACCTGAGTTAGTGGTCTTGGTCTCTAAAAGTGCTTTAGAAGTGATAAATTCCTCGAATTTTTCATTAACAAACTTTGAAATTTTCTTGCCAATTTCAACGGGTACGGTTTCCCACTCTTCCTGACTCACGACCGGGGCAAAAATGCACGTATCCATTTTCTTACCTTATATTATGCACTTTCCTATTGTATAAATTTACCAAGAGCGAACCATTTCTCGTTAAAAACAAATTTAGATAAATTGTTTTAGAGGGAAGCATAACAGCACGAAACACCACGCATTTTCACTTTTGCAGAAGAAAAACATGCCGGTAACCCGTTCAGTGTTGCCAAGCCTAAATTGCAAATTACCTATTAACAGAAAGATAAAAATTAAATAAATAAAAAAAATTTAAGTGGATAGAGTTTAACCAGATAGCAGAAGTGTGTGCATTAGAGAGAATTAGGTATATTGTAATTTTTTGAAAATTTCAAATATGTTATTACAGTTATAATACAAATTAAAATTGATTTCTAAATTTGACAGAGTTTGACATTGATATATTTTAGTAATAATCCAGTAATAATCAAACAAGTTGGCAATCTGGTTAGTGTTTGACATTTGGGTTAAGTATCAATACCAACATAACTATAAATTCAAATATAATTTTTAAATAGTAATTTAGTAAATATGATTTAATGATAGATTTTAATTCGTTTCTTATTATTACTACAGAAAGTTGTCTTAACAATTATGTTAAATGAATGTTTATTTATTCAATTTAAAAAAAAATGATTTTTTATATAAAATTTCAACAGTTGGCCAACATGTCAAAATATAGAAACCTGTTTTACCAACCGATTTGAAAATGGCAGTTTGCGTCGTTTACGTTTTTCATGTTTATTGTCAAGAAACACATTTGATATTAAATTTATAATAAATGATTTTTACAGTATTAAAAGTATGTCGGATGCGGTAGAAATCACAGTAGACAATGATATATCGAGTAAACTCTCTCAGAACCTTCAAGTACAGGAGCAAGAGGTGAACGACTGCACCGAGTTTCTAAAAATTGCATACAGAAGATACAGAAAGTACAAAATTATATTAGAATCGGTTAAAGAATGTTTGGAGGACGACAGTGTTTTAGACGATAATTTAAAGAAGAAGATAAAGAATATTATTTGTAGCGCACAATTGTCAGAGATAAGACTGAATCAAAATGCAGTTGACAGTTATTTGGCCAACGAACCCGTTTTAGGAGTTTCACTAACTAGCAGCGAGTTAACTTATTCAGAAGGTAGCGAGCTTGAAAAATGCATGAAATCCAAGTTAGATAACAAATATCATACGGTAAAGAATTCCTTTTCTTCACTTCTTGGTAAAACGTCAATGAACACCGATCAAAGAGACTCGGACAATCTTCTAGATGTATGTTTTGGTGATTTAGAGTTAATTGAATTCAAAAGGAAATTAATATCGGAACAGGAATGTTACATAACTCACCAGCTTCAGTTATTAGAACTGCTAGAAGAATTAAAATGTATTAGGCTAGAAAATGTACCACAGTTCACTGAAAAGAAACTGGCGGAATGTACGTTAAGGTCCAAAATAAATTATTTAAAGTCGTTATTGGCAACTGAGAAGTGTAAAGTGGATATTTTTATGGAAACCAGTTATTCTCTTCAAGCATATACGGAGCTTATAAAAGACATTAAAGGACAGCAAGAAGAATTAAAAGAAGACATAAGGAGGCTGAACAATCTCAAAAAGCAATACGCACACGTTTCTTGTATGGAATACGACGAAATCCATAAATCTTACGTGCATTATAAAGCTGCATTGGATAAAAAGAAAAAGATGTACGAATACATTAACGCAAAGACATAAGCAATATACAAAACATCTAATGTAGAACTATATGCCTCTTCCTGCTACTAATGTAAATATATGCTAAGCTATTTGTATATGTTTTTTTAAAACATTAATATTAAATAATTTTTTCCCTTGTAGTCTCCATTGCATTTTCCATCTTTTTCTAACCTATAGGAATGATGATAATGTATCTATTGACTAAAGTATCGATATCAAATCTTTTAAATCCTAAGAACATTTACCGGTAAAGGTGTGGATCCGGTGGCCAGGGTTCGGAAAACTACATGTTACTTTGAAAAACTACATAAACTACATTACATGTAGTTAATGTAGTTTATGTAGAGGGTGTAGTTTATGTAACTTATGTATGTAACTTTCAAATGTCAAAGGTTTGAGGTGAGGTTATAATAAGTTGAAGCTTTAAAAACACATAATGTATTTAAGAAAACAGGAGAAATATGGTTTTTGGTTTGGTTTGGTTGGTATTAAATAATATTTACATCATATTATCTCTATTACACCTCATACAAAGGAGAATTATTCATAATATCAATACATAGTTTATTAACGTAGTTTTCATGTAGTTAATGAACGGAAAAAGACGTAGTTTTTGAAGAAAAACTACACGTAGTTAATCAGGTAAATTACGTCTTAACTAACTACTTCCGAACCCTGCCGGTGGCTGACCTTGAAGCCCATATTTGCTGCATTTGATCATCGATACTACGCAAGCGCACATCGTCGATGTTGCCAAATTGCAGTTTATTTTCGAATTATTTGCAGCTGAGAAATTTTTTTGAGTGTTAATCAATAATAATCCAAATTCTATAATTAATTTTATAGTTTCAGATTTATCTTGATATCCAAAATTAAGGAATGATATATAAAATTAAATATATAAAATTGTAATAATAATAACATTTATTTATATATTTACATTAGAATTAAAAATTATCATTTACGGATATTTTTTTAATGGTTTTAAACTTATTAGAATTATTTTATTTCTTTCAAGTTATTTAATTTTTAGTTATTTACAGGCAACAATAGTTTTGAATAGATGTATTGATGTATTGAAGTACTACCATGACGAGTCTTATAGAACAATACATGTCAATGGGAGATAGAGGTGACATTTTACTGTGATTTTACCTCATAATTTTACTAATATAATACACTTTCATTATAATGGTTGTATCAAAATTTCTTAAAAATATCAAGTTAGTGGATTAATAGCAATTTTAAACATATATTTTATCGAAGAGTGTGGTGATAAGACTAAAATAAGCTTTATGTTTTATCTTTTTCTCTTTAGAAGGGAGATGGTTTGTGTCGTAGAATACATTACAGTATTTAATATCGTGTACTTTGATATTCTTTTCTTAATCTACTGTAATTTCTTGTTTCCTATAATGCCAAATCTTGACAATATGGTGAAGGTTGAGTTTTGATCTTATTAGTTTAATACCTGTGTTTATACAAGACCAAATTAAGACTTAGTTAGTTTGTGATTTATATTAAGATCTTTCTTATAATATTTGTTATGTCTTAATCTTAATACTATATTATGCTTTGTCTGGAAAATAAATGTTCAAATATCTTAATTTTGCATATCCTATTCCATTCTTCCATTAGGAAAAATATGGTTTATAAATCATATATGCTAAGAAAATCACATAAATTAGGTGTAAGAATAGAGAAATCTTAAGGTAGCAGAAAAATGCAATATATGTATAAGCAGAATTAAATAAGGTAACTGTTAATGTTGCTGAAGCTGATTCTACAATTTTAATTATGGAGGTTAAAAGGCCTTTTAAGGCGTCCGTAGTTTTGATGGAATGTTAAAAAAACTATTATGAACATGACATGGAGCTACAGCATTTAAAAATAAAAAAAAATAAAAAACTAGGACACATCCCTTTTAATTTCCCGAATTTTTAATAAAGCCATTTTTAAACGTAGCATAATAATCTAGAGCAATTAGATTAATTACAAGAATCTAGTGTTTTATTTCTATTTAATTTTATTGACTATGAAAATACATAATAAGCGTTCACGTGTTGTGCGAAATATTAAAATAATAATATAAATAATATACCGCGTACTATGATTGAAAAAAAATAGCGTCAGCGATGACTATGAAATGAAGATCGCTGTCATTTTATATTGGAAATGTCCTCAATCGTCATTTCCCAACCAACTGAACGCCGTTTTTTCGATCATACGGTATATATTGACAAAAAAACACTGAAATGCACATATTTGTTTTCTACTGAAAATATTTCCAAAATAACTTGCAATCTGGCAACATCGAAGATGTACGCATGCGTAGTGTTTGTGACTATATGCAGCAAAAACTTGTTTCAAGGTCAGCCACCGGATCCACACCATTACCCATTTACCAAAGAAACTAACGGTGTTTCCTTTATGATCTTTGAATAAGAAGTTTATCATACACGTTAAATATCGACTTATTTTAAAATTTTCTCATCCCTACTTGGCAACCATAGATTAGATTTGTCCTTTCATTTCACAACGTATTGAAAAGAGAACGCAAAACAAATTGACAGCTGTCTGGTAATTTGACCACTTTCAAATCGAATTTATGTTCCCTTTATTTTGTTTACAAGTGCTATTTTTAAATCGTTGAAAATTGCTCGGAACTGCGTAAAGAATTAAGTGGTTTTATTGAATTAAGGTGTCGCCTAAAACATGGCCACGTTGGAAGATAAGATTCTGGGCGAAAAACTGCACAATTATTGCAGCAGCAGCGAGGGTAGCGATAACGAGGGCTCCGGAGATGAGGCTCCCAAGCCAAATAAGACTGTCTCTTCTGTAAGTACTAAGCCCCTTCCCGAAGCGAATAAATGGGAGGGTACTTCTACCAACACGGGGCCCAAAGGTGTTATAGAGGACTGGAGGAAGTTCAAACAGTTAGAAATAGAGAAGAGGGAAGAGGGTGAAAAGGTGAAAATCGAATTGGCGAAGAAACTGACCATGACAGTGAGGACAGCTCTGGACGAGGAACGGGAAAAAGCCGCCTTGGAGGACCCCGACCTGGCGGAATTGCTGAACGACGAATTTCTTCTTAATTATCAAAAACAGAGGATGGAAGAGATGCTGCAACAAACGAACAAAAGTAAAACGTTTGGTAAGTCTCTTCTTTAGCATGGTTTTAATCAATTTCAAATATTACAAATAACATAAAAAGTAATACTTTGTAAGTAATTATATATTGAGAAACAATATGTACACTGGTTGAATTTGACACTTTAATATCAGTTTAATAATACAGTCTGTTGCATCTCCGACCTGGACATAGAAAATCATTTTATTTACAGAAAAATGTATTTGAGACTTTTTAAAGAACTCCTTAAAATAAAGCTTCAATGTCTCTTAGCAATGTGCACTGTTTCTCTGTTTATTTTATACATTTGGCAACATTTCTAATCTTCTCTCTTTGTTCAGTACATTTATAAATGCATTGTACTCTTCTTACGTATGGAAATGGGGACCCAAAGCTGAGCGTTGCCAATACTGTTTATTTTCCCAACTCCCCAAATTTTCCCAAAAAAATGATTTAAACAGTTTGAACCCTTTTAATTAATGTTCAAAATTGTTTTAGGCGAAGTCATTCTGTTGAGGAACGGTCAAGAATACTTAGACGCTATAGATAAAGAGGATCCATCCATTATCGTAATCATCCACATATACGAAGATCACGTCGAGGCTTGCAGGCTTATGAACCAATCCCTAAAACAACTGAGTAAAATTCACCAGCACGTCAAATTTTGCGCTATCGTGGCTTCACAAGCTGGGGTAAGCAGAGAATTTAAAGTTGACGGAGTGCCAGCCTTGTTAGTCTACAAGTCTGGCAATATTATCGGAAATTTCGTGAAATTGACCGATGATTTGGGTCAGAATTTCCAAACAGAAGATGTACAAGGGTTTCTTGTTGAACACGGTCTTCTAGAGGACAAGAGTTTGACTCCAGCATTGATAAGGAGCTCCACCGCAGATTCAGACAGTGACTAGTGTAGATGATTGAAGGTAAAAAATATCCTATATATGTACGCGTTGTAGGGCAATTTCACTATGCTAAATTAGTCTAAATGTGAGTGGATATTGTCAGTCTTTACTCAGAAACTGCTCTTATAACTTCTAATTCGTATTTCTATTTATTTCAAGACAATGTAAAGTCTGTCCCGTGAAAGAAGGAACGATTTTGACAGGCAGAAAGTGTCACAGTGGTATATTCTCTTCTCGGACAGACTATATATTGTTTTTTTCCTGCAAGAATTTGCTAAGTCAAAAATGTCAGTTAGCAGAAAAGGGAAAATTAGTTAGCAGAAAATGGAATTAAATGTATGTTTGGCTATTATAAAAATATAATTTCATCATATTTTTTTAATAGTCAAAGACCTACACTAAAATACTTATTTTATTATTACTTTTTTTTGGAAGACCCTGTATAAAACAAAATATTTTTAGGATATGCATCTTTATAAACCATGCAACATTTATATACAAGATTTTTTTTCTCATCAACAATGACGATATTGGACTTTCTCGCATTAATGGGCCACACTGTATGATTGAAATATGCTGACTTAGCTAGTTCTTTGCGGCAAACTTCAGAAGGTAGTCTGAACAGCTTCCAACCCCACAATGATACACAAGATTTTTTTCGAAAATTTATTTTTATTTTTTTACATAACCTTGAAACAACTAAGCATCAAAAATGGCTGAAATCTTAGTGGTCGTCGTTCAACTGTATATTACCATGTATGTATACATGAGGGCGGAAACTTTTTGGACTACCCTTGTATAATAAATCGACCAGGCTTGAGGCTTAAAGCAGAGCTAACAAATTCGTGACCGTATAGACGAGTTCGGTACTTTGGAGCCACCTATAACTTTGGTGCTAAAAAAATTTAAAAAAAGTTGTTCAAAAAATGTACTATATATTATTATATCTATATATTTAATAATATTTATAACTATAACTCCAATGAAGCTTTAATACTGTTTAATCTTACCAGTATTTCTATGTTTATCCTCTCTAGTGATTTAAAAAAATGAGGCATTTTTGTAAATTCATTTTACAAATTTATTAAATTTTATGGTTATTAAAGAATAGTACAATTATTATTGCAATAATAGGATTAATTTTATTATTTCTATATCTTAATATTACGAGGCTACTTATTTTTATTTTTTGGAAATAAATTATTGAAGAATAAATCAGAGATATAGAGGTAGGGAGAATGAGCATGAGCGTGCGCATAAATTCTAATCAAGGTAGTCGCCATGTTCGCTCTTAAACGGCCTACACACGTAACGATTTATCGTACTGGGCGTTGAACTGCAGATCGTAAAGAAAATTGTACGGTTTGAAGTACAGCCATTTTTTGTACACACGATGCAACACATTGTGCTGCCGCAGTTTAGATTATTCACTTTTCGTCGCGAAGGGCTACCTTTATGTCAAGAATTTCAAAGAAGAAAGCTGCCGTGCTTGTAGCTGCGGTATTGCTGATAGATGAAGATGATGAATAAAAAGAAATCAAAAAACGAAAATGGTGTAAAAAGTGGTTGCTGGAAAGAAAGAAATATTAAAAAAAAATAAACAAAATTTCATAACTGGAATTTCTTTTCATTTTATTTGCATAATATTTTGATTTCACATCCCATAGGCATCTATTTTCTCTATATAAATCAGTAAAGTCTTCCCAGAACGTCTTATTTTTTAAATCCATAATATTGATTAAACCAAAAATAAATAAAAATTATATCGTAACTGCGCGGTGCGGCAGGGAATACACTCCACGCGTTCAAACCCCACCCCAGACACGACCCGTTGATACGATATTTTACGAAAGCTCCGTACTGCAAACGATTTGACGACTGCGTGCTGCAAACCATCCAATTTCCCTACACACGCTACGATTTATCGTTAATGCGGCAGTTTCGATGGATATCGTACTGCATGCAGTACGATAAATCGTTACGTGTGTAGGCCGTTTTAGGTCTACAGGGTGTTTCAAAAGACATGTGCCATCACTTGTGGGGCGATACCTCACACAAACTCCTTTGTTTCCTAGCCACAGGGGGTTAGTCTTCTTTTTTTTTCGATTTATTATAATTTTCTTCTAAGTGCTTTTAGCGGTTTTAATGAAATTTTAAAGGTAAAAGTTACGAAAAAAATGTGTATAGCCTAAAAGTAGGGCTGTAACGAGCCCTGTTTTTTTAACTTGACCGAGTACCGAGTACTCGGCTAAAGGTACTCTTCCCCGACTACAAACCAATGACCTGGTTTGTTTTTCTTATGGAGATATTGTTTTATTCTGTGGTTCCCCATGCAAATTGATATTTCTAATGTGCTGGATTCTGAATTGATTCTTTTAAGGTGCGGTGGCGACGTTGATTTTGTTTTAAGCAAAACTTATATGTGTAACTAATTTAAAAGTCAAAAATAATTCAAACAAATAATAATAATCTTTAAAGTTATATTAAAATGAGTGACAGTGCTGACCCCTTTTAGATTATAAGTATTAAATTATTATTTCACTGTGTTTGTGTTATTAGTTAAACTTATTATTATTACTTTGCTAAAATACATCAATTAAAGTTATGAATGAATAACTTTTTGTTTATTTTATTATTTGCTACTGTGAGTCTCATTTCTATCTGTTTTGGACATGCATAAATGGATTGTTTCTATTACCATACTTTACTCGGCCGAGTAAGGCCGAGCACCGAGTACATATTACTTGTTTAAAATTCTGGCCGAGCACCGAACTACTCGGTACTCGGTGCAGCCCTACCTAAAAGTCAAATTTAGTGATTACCACAGCCATTGTGACATAAAGAGAATACATGTGGTTATCTATTTCAAAAATTAAATTGTTCAAATGTCATAATAATGGCAGTAGCTGTCATGAAATTGAGCGATTAAAAAATTTATGACGGGAAACTCTGAGGTGTACAGATGGATTTACTGAGCTTCAGGTCGTAGATTCTTTTTGTTGAGTTTACCTCTAAGGTTTGTCGTTCGACCGTTAAACAAATAAAGCACTTGTTGTTAAACCTGACTTTTATTTAACTGATTTAGACAAAGTAAAGTAAGAAAATTAGATTTTGTGGGAAAATCGTATAAATGTCTTCTGTCAAATTATCTTCTGTCATCCGTTAGGGATGGGCACTATCGCCAATTTCGATATTATAGGGATGGTCGGTTACAATCTCCCCTTTTGGAGGGCACCAACGTCCTCGGGTGGTCTCCAATGATGAGTGGTGTGGATGGTCAGCATGATTGGAACTGCATGAACAGGTGGGTGGTCGAATATTTCTTCGAGGCCGTCCATCCTTTCTGGGGTGTTACCTGTAAATTATCAAAAAGAGGAAGGTGGGATTCATCGTCGGATACATCTTCGTCTTGGTCAGGCACACTGGTGGAACTTGTGGATTGGCTTCTTTGGGTGGTTTTAGGTGGTCTTCCACGTCTTCTTTGTGTTTGGACTGGAGGGGTTTCTTTTCCTCGGGATCAGTTAATGAGGCTACTTCGTACGTTGTAGGGGTCACAATCTTCGCAATCTTGTATGGTCCGTCTCTTCTTGGGGCGAACTTGTCAGTATAATTTGCTTTGGCTTTGCTGATGGGATGTGTGTCGACTAATACTTTGTCTCCTTCTTGGTAGGTTTGTGGACGTCGATTTCTATCAGCATATATCTTGTTCTTGTCTTGAGTGATTTCATGTTTGTCTCGGGTTTCACGAAGAGTTTCAGCAATTTTAAGGAGGTACGGGGTTACTTGAGGTATAAAGTTCTCATTTTCAGTGGTTGCTCTCATATCTCTTTGTACATCGTCCGGTGTTCGAAGTTCTCGTCCAAAAGTTAAGTATGCTGGGGTAAATCCAGTACTGTCACATTTCATAGTGTTCATTGCAAATCGAATAGACGGTAACTTTTCACTCCAATCGGTGTGTTGTTCTCCAACAAGGATGGCAAGTTGAGTTTTCAAGTCTCGGTTTTTCCTTTCTACGGGATTAGCTTCAGCATGATAAATTGGAATCAAGTGTTGATGAAAACCTAGGCAATGTGCGACATATTGCATAGTTTCGCTTACAAATTGAACTCCATTGTCACTTGTCACTCGGCGAGGTGTTCCAAATCGTAAGAGTATTTCATCTATCAGGATTCTTGCACATGCAATGGATGTAGCTTGAACTAAGGCGAATAATTCTACCCAGCAACTTGCTGTATCCTCTATAATAAAAATCCATTTTTCTCCAGTAGGCGTTTCTGGTAATGGTCCAAAAAGGTCAATGGCGATAACTTCAAATCGTTTACATAAGGTGGGAGTTTGAAGTAATCCAGCCGGTTTTAAGTTCTTCACTTTGTATCTTTGGCATTTTATACATTTGGAAACATGGTCTGTTATTGTTTTTGTCATACAGGGCCAATAGTATCTTGATCTAATACGGTGTAAGGTCTTATCTACTCCATAATGTCCTGCTAATGGAGAATTATGATATTCTTCTAAAATTCTTAATATATCACTTTTAGGAACTACTTGTTGAAATTGCTGCGGGTCATCATCTTCTAAAGCATACCTATACAATATTCCATCGTTCATTATGAAACCTCTGTCTGTACATTTCTTGAATTCTGTAGACTCGGGATCTGGTGATTCAAAGCACTGTGTTATCTTCAAAACATCAGGATCTTCGAGTTGTTGCTGTCGAATGTGTCTTGTCTTTCTCTAGGCATCTCCACAACTACTTGGTTCACTTCAAGTTTCTCAATAGGTATAGGTGGTCTAGATAGCGTGTCTGCTATAACATTTGATTTACCTGGTGTGTAGTCAATTCTCATATTATATGATTGTAAGGCTAGTGACCAACGGGCTAGTCTTCCACTAGGTGATTTCAGTGACATGAGCCATTTTAATGGTTGATGGTCAGTTTGGATCACAAACTCAGAATTTTCTAAATAACCTCTAAATTTGTCAACAGCCCATACTACTGCAAGAACTTCTCTTTCAGTTGTATGATAGTTTTTCTCAGCTGAGGTGAGTAACCTACTTGCATATTCAACTGGTCTTTCATCTTCTCTCTCCCCTTGGAGTAAAACCGCTCCAATTGCATATGAACTGGCATCAGTTTTCAATACATATGGAAGTCTACTGTCAGCTTGTCTGAGGATTGGGCTAGTGGTTAATAAAGTTTTCAAATGGTCAAAGGCTGATTGCTGTTCATTCCATTTCCATTTTGCATTTTTTCTAGTCAATAAGGTCAATGGTCGGGATATTTCTGCAAAAGAAGGAATAAATCGTCTAAACCAAGAACAAGTTTGAATAAATGATAATAATTGCTTGGTGTCCTTTGGTGGTTGTCTTTCTAAAATTGCGGAAATCTTTTCCGGATCAGGTTGAATTCCTTTGGGAGTTATCATATGTCCTAGATATTTCACTGAGGAACATACAAAAACACATTTTCTTCTGTTGAGTCGTAACTTTAAGTCTGTCAAATACCTTTCTTTCGAAATGCTTTCTTTCTAACTTTAAGTCTGTCAAATACCTTTCTTAGGTCAGCAAGATGTTCTTGAAAAGATCTTGATAGCAATATCAGGTCATCTAGATAAGCAAGGATGGTTAAATCTTGTAATCCAGCTCGAAATCTGTCAATCAAACGCTGAAACGTTGATGGGGCATTTTTCATACCAACCGGCATTCGTCTGAATCTAAAAATTCCAAATGGGCAAATAAATGCAGTCTTATCTCTATCGCTTTCTCGTACTGATACTTGATGATATCCAGACTTAAGATCTAAGGTTGTCATATATGTGGTTTGCTTCGCTGTATGTAATAAATCGTCTATTCTAGGTAAAGGATATTTATCTGAAATTGTTACCTCATTCAATCCTTGGTAATTTACACATAATCTTATGCTACCATCGGGCTTTGGTACTAATACTACTGGTGCAGAATAAGGTGATTCGCATTCTTCGATTACTCCATCACTTAGTAATTTGTTTAGCTCATCTTGTAGTAACTTTTTGTTCGGTTCTGACATACGGTATGGTGGTACTGAAATTGAAATGTCGCTTGTTAAATTTATAGTATGTTCAGCATATGGTGTTGGTTCATTGCTTGGGGTAAATAACGTTGTTAGGTTTAGATAATGAAGAAGACCATAAACCATGTCTATCTGACAAATTTCAGTGATTTTATGTTCAACTGGGAGTTTGGAAAAAAGAGCTCTACATCTACTTATAAAAATATCTGTATTCTCATCTTCTTTTTGTTGATTGGAAAACAATTCTCTGTATATTTGGTATGGAGGTATTTGGTATCATGTCCAAAAGCACATCTTAAAGCTTCAATCGCTGCATCAAAAGAACTGATACTTTCTTTAACACCCTGCCACCAAATTCCAGCTTTATGTTCCAGTAACATTGGTAAACCCTTAAGAGCATTTTCTTCTGATATGTTTACGCAGTCTTTGTATACAAGAATGGAATCGAATAAAAGCATTAACGTTGGTGCCTTGTTCACTGTTAAAACGTACACTACATTTGGCAAAATTTCTTCTTTCAAGGTTTT